TTACAATAACATAATTTTCAATCTGTAATGCGTTTAGACACCCTTGACACATGTAAAAAACAGATAGCGATTGTTTAGTCTATTCCGATGAATTTGAAATCAGACGACATATGTATACGAGATTATCTATTATTAATAACGTTTTACAGCACGTGTATGTATGCTGTGTGTCAATTGTTTTCAACAATGTTGCCAACGTTCAGCCGTTGTACCGAATTGGATCAGCACACAGTTGGTGACCAGGGCGATAACGAACGCGATAGATAACATATCAACAAGGGACGCATTGTGCAAAACTGCTTAACCTACAATACTAACCGGTTTAGTCAAATTATCGTACAATATGACCAACAGTCACATGCAGTGTCCGCATTTAATGTCGAATTACATAAAATTCATAATGATATAGCAATGAAATACAACTTATGTCAAATTAAACAGTTGTATGTACATAATCGTTAAGCTTTTTATCGGAAATGTATTTAGTCCAATGTAATAATTAAATTTGTGTGACATAAATAAATTATTGCTGTAATAAGCAACTATGTGAAAAAAAACATAAGTTTAAAATAATACAAAAAACGTCACATATCTGCATCGCTGTACATGGCAAGTTGATAGTGTAATCCGGTCAAAGTTTGGCAGAACTATAGAACGAAATTGGTCGGTCTCTTTAGACGAGCTTCCGGGTAGAACTGGCATCCACCCAATATAAAGAGAAAAGAAATTTACTAACACAAGACGCGTAAGTCTTTAGAAAATATCATAAACTCAAGCACAATGGAATGAGTAATGAATAAACATACAACAAGCCAGATACAAAGAATTATTTGTTTTGTCCTCTTTTAGGAAACACCTTAGTGCTGTCAATATTCAGACATGTATGTCCATAAATCTTTGTGTTCTAATCAAAATAAGAACGTGATCGATGGGCTGCAGCTTTGTAATGATGTTACTTAAGTTACTTAACCAAACTTATATGTCTTTTCACTCATGCTCTTTGAGAAAACAGAAATAGCAATACGATTTTGTACTGATTTCAGAGAGGACTATTGTTTTAAATGGAGTAATAAATGTTTGGTTTGATGTTTTGATGAATTATTTAAAGTCAATAGATTCCAACAAACTTTCTAAAAATCTGTATATTTAGTTTAATTTATTTTGGATCTTGAAAGTTTCACATTCAATTTGTTATGAAAAAGAAATAGATTAATCGAAAATACGGCGTTTCTTTTAATACACTTTCACTTATCGAAACACCAATTTCCACTTCGTTTCTGCAGTATGGGTGTTGAGGTGATTATTCGTAATCATCTAAAATACGATAAGAACAGTATAATTAATTTTAATTCCTTAAAATAACTCAACATATCAAAATGGTTAAATTTAAATGTCTACGTTTAATTCTTTTTAACTATACCTATGTTAATAAGATTAATTACAAACCTAATTATAGCCACAGATTTAAATAAGTAAGAGCTTGGCAAGTACATAAAATAAGGGGCGAAATAATTTTGTATTCAGGGCGAGATCGGAGGGTGGGTACGAATGACCTAGAAACAACCTGGAATGCTTTTCCTTTATCATTACATTGCCTCCCTCAAAGTCCTTGAGACTAACTCAAGGCCTACTGGTTCCCGGAAATATCCTTCAAAGCGGGAGATAATCCTTGTACATTTTGGCGCAAGGTCAACTGCTTTCAGATATATAAATGAAAAAACGTTTTTTATATCTCTTAATGGATGATGTCGAGCATTAATGTTTCAAGACAGTTTTTTTAACATGGGAAAGTGCGAAATAAGGTTAATTTTAAAAACGTATTATAAGCCTAAAAAGAGGGATAGTACAGTTGGGGAAACTGGCGGTGTTCCATCTAAAAAGGTACAATCGTTTGAACATTAACAAGACGACGGAACACCGCAAATTTTCGCGAATGTACGTACCAGTTTTAGGAGACAGGCAGACGTAAAATTAAAATTAATCTTGAATTGGCTCAGATTGTCGAATAGAACGCATTGAATCTCTCTGTAGGTATCCTTAAATAAGTTACAGCAAAACAGCACCACGTTAAAATTTCATTATGAGCGATCGGTTTACGACGGCAAAGATCACAAATCATTTACGAATAATCGAAGAACACTCCGAGTAGTACGAAAACCAAAATAAACGATGGTACACTAAAATTACATTAGCAAGGGCTATAAAATGAGAAGCAGAACTGAAATAAATTTTACCCAAATAAATTGATTAAAAATTTGTATCAGGTTGGGATATTTTAAACGCATTTATAATAATTTAGAACTGGATGCATTTAAAGATAGGAACCATTTCTTTATTTTAAAAATAAAAAAATTATACCTATAAGTATCCACATATTATGATTTAATCTTAATTTACATTTATAACATACAAAACTGTCAATACAAGTTATGAATAGTTAGAATTTTTTATATAGGGAATTTTGATAACAATAGGAAGATGAGTGAGATCTGAGAACTGTGAATTTAAAAACTTTGGCCAAGTTGTCATGACACCTGAGACCATGCATTGTTCTGTTGGAATATGACACCCTTCGGTTATACATTATTAGCAAGTCTTTTTTACATTAAATATGTAGTTAATGCATTAATGTTGTAGTTTCTCAAATTTATCATTTCACTGGCCTTTCCTTATGACATCATCCTTGCGGAATTTAAGTTTTTTTTCTAGTAACAAATTTAATGTTAATCTGTGAAAATGTATCCTTGTGGTAAAATATTTATTGGATTACATAGATTTTGAGTTTATTTGTTATATACAAAAATACAAATCTTTCCTCATTTTAATTTAAGTATGGGTTAATACAAGACATAGACTTTGTACCCTTTTTGAGGAAATAGCAGGATCGGTTGAAGATGAATATTTGACACATTTAAAATTAATATGAAGAAATATTTAAAGTTATTTAATTTAAAAAAAATCTTTTTGCAATAAATAAGTAATTCATATTTTGGTTTGAATTTAACCAGCGGCAACCAGTAGTTATTGTAAATGCATTAAGCATCTAATATTTTTTGATGACAAATTTTACATGCATGAAAATTATAAGTAAATAGCTATATTAATTCAATGACAATATTCAAATGTTCAGTCCAAAAACAGATACGGAGAACTTTACTGCAGTATTTGAAAAATTGCAGAAGGATAACATTATCTATTTGTATGAAGGCAAATGAATAAATTTGTCAAAAAATTAATCTTTCAAAGACTGCATAAGCTTTCTGGAACATTATAATTTGTTTTGACTTGTCATTAATATTACGGCAATGACCAAATATTGTTAAAAAATTTCATTCCTAACTATCCTATAGGTTTGGCAAAACATATTAATTTTTATTTCTTATTCGTAATAATCTCATAACATGGTAAAAAATTCAATCAGTTTTGTATAATGATTTATTTTACTAAACATATGCATGTTTCAACTACACATGAGCACTGAAATTTGATCCTTTTACAATTTTTTTTTTAACTAGGTAAATATGAACACATACTATTAAAAATATATGTTAATACTAATTATCTTAGTGAACAGCTGTAGGGTATAAATACTTTTACGTGAGGTACATAACAATATGAAAGTTACATCTGTCAACCTACAAGCAAAAACTCCATGTTGGTAACCAATTAACGTAAAGCAATTAAACATGTAAAAAAATTATTTAGTAACAAAAAACGTATTATGTATTCTAAAAACACATTTGTGATGCTTCAAAGTATCTAAAAAATAAACATCAAGGCCAGAAACTTATTTTATTTAGTGAATAGACGCTAGAAAATATCGTAGTTTGACGTTTAACGTAATAGATCTTACTTACCAATTCTGATTTCCAAACCGATGTAATCGTGTTATAACATTACACTTATTCTTTTTATTATCTCTATCACAATTTTAGTTAACCAAAGAATTATTTGCTATTAAAAAATAAAAACAAAAGAAGCAGACACTTGCAATGCAAACACACCTCACTCGGCCATAAAGAAAACCATAGACAAAATCCCACAGACAATTTACAAAATGTTTTGAAAGATGGTTGTTTTTTTTAAATATTTTCTAACCAATTTTAATGACATTTCAAATTCAAAATTCATTACTTTTAACAGTACTAAAATTAAAACATAAATAAACGTAAATAAGCATTGAAATTTTATATTTTAGGTGACCTAGCGCGAAAATTTGTAGAGAACTATTCTTAACGTTAATAACTTTGTACTAGATTTTTACTTTAGGCGTTTACTTTAGGATACAAATACATTTTTTATAATTTTCGTCGGTGACAATTACATGTACTTTCTCGCGAATTAGCTTATAGTTGGTAAGATTTAGGTAGGTACTTTAGGTAACTAGAGCCATTAAGTATTTATAAGATGTAAGGACAAGAAATAAATAAATTGTGTAGGAGATAATCTTTGTTTACCCTAATAATTTCTACGTCATATACTATGCAGTAAAATAATTGCGTTTTTTATATTTTGTTTGTTTTTTTTGTCGGCTCAGAAGTGTATGCTGCTAATTTTAATTAATTTTATTCATCTTCTTACATGTTTAAAAATGTATTTACAATATTTTTCAAATCTTAATGGCTTACCAAGGTTTGTTATTTCATTGCATACTTAATACCAGTTAAGATGTTACAGTTTTCTGAACCATGATGGCACTTGAAATGATTACTTGATATTTTTGATACATTTGGCATCCAGCATACCTGCTTGTTCTTAAAATGAATAAAGATAGTAACACACATCAATTTTCTATCAAAAGATACCTTTTTGAAAGATCTCTTAATTCTTTATGGTTGTTTAAAAGGTAATCTCCTTGCTTGTGAGGTTTCTTATTAAAAAGTAACAAAAACACAAGGCTTCACCACTGTTGCTTGTTACCATTTTGATTATGACTTAATTTTAAATGAGGTTCCAACAGAATTGGAATAGTAACATTGTGTTAAAATAAAACAAAAGCAATGGTATACAAAATTCTATTTGAAAATGTTACAAGTATGTAACCATTGTAAATTTTGATTTGGGAATAAAATATATTAACCTTATCACATTGTTAGTTGGTAAGTGTTGTTAATGCCGCCACCACATCACCTCTGTGTTCACGTAAGGTTCTTTCGGCTAATGTTCTAGAGATTTCCATTTCCTTGACCTGGAATATAAAATGTTATTTTAAATTTTGTAGTTCTGCTGGTTGTTTACCCCATTCATTATTAAAAAAAAAAACACTTTTATGAACCATCTATTTAAATTCACACTACTTATTTATGTAGGATGTCATCGCAGTATGTTTTTGAATAATTCTGTATTAAATAAAATGCCTACACTTATGACTACTATATATGAATAGTAGTATAGAAATAATTTAGAAAAAACCATCATGTGGGAAAGGGACAAAAACTCCAAGATGGAAACATCATGGAAGCTAGGTTGCCATGGTAACAGTAATTATTACTCAATGTCAAAGGCCTTAATTGTCATTTGTGCATTTGAATTTTGACATTAGTAATTGAACATTTTACAAATGGAAACAATAAAATGCAGTTTTTATAATTTTATGTACAGGAAGCATTATGGGAACAGCTCATATTTAATATAGAGGAAAATTTTGTATTTTTGTTTGTATTTAAAAAAACTAATAGGCTGATTTAAATTTTCCCTTAGCCTTTTGTTGTTTTATTTTCAATCCACTTGGTGAAGCTTATTAAAAAAAACATTGTATCTGCAATTCAAATGATGATAAATAAAATAAACAATACTCACAATTAATTCAATATCATCTTTTCTGACAGAAACTTTTTGAAGCTCCTTCTCTTTTTCCAATCGTTCAGCCGCCTCTTTATTTCTTCTATCACCGATTAATGAAAGTGCCTGAAATTATTGGCAGCATGATTAAAGAAATTAAATTTAAAAGAAGAGTCATATAGTATACACCTTTTCAAATATCTCCAAAGCTCAAGGTAAGCTGCAGCATCACTCCTTCTGTCTTTTATGGCCTGTTACAACTACAATTGTGTTTCATGCAACTATTTCAACAATGTAACTAACCGCAAAGATACTTCAAAACCCTAACAAAATGTGTTTGTATTTACAAAAATGTCAAATTTTATATCTCACAGTCTACTATATCGTTATTTACATATTCAAAAAATGTTAATAGAAACTCAATGGACAATGTTTATTTGTACATCTTTTAAAATAACAATAGAAGTAAATGGTAAATTACATTACATTTGACGAAATTTATTACAAGAATGAAATACAATATCATGTACTCACATTTTTTATAAACAGAAATCACACATTTTTTAACCTCACATTTTTTATAAACAGAAATACTTACTCCAGATATATCTTGCGAGGATATTTCTTTTTCTTCTGCATAGTCTGTTACTTTTTCCAAATCAGCTACTCCACTATCGTGTTTGGCAGTTTTCTTCTGGGTTTTATCTTTATCATGCTGAATTTCGTCAGTGTCTCCATTAATTTCTTCGTCAGCCATTTTCTGAATAATCACAATTATTCAACGTTTAAACAAAAGTTCTAAAATTCATCAAATAGAACAAACGTTACTAGAAACAAAGAGTTTCGGCACAAAAGCTATAAACTCATTATTTAAAAAACGCTTTTAAAGTGAAAAATGCGATCGCTGTTCTCAAAATAATTTGACATTTTTGCTGTCAAATTTGACAGTAAAAAAAAAGGAAATTGCCAGTTCATTTATCAATTGTCTATGGTTGATAGTTGCCAGAATTATTTTGGTTATTTTACCTACTCACTACTAATAGAATAAAAGAACCAGATAGATTATTTTTCCATAAGATATTGATTCTAATGAAGGAATAGAATAAGATAGATGGAAAATGGTGAACCTTTTGTGTGAACATTTTGGAAAATAAGCGTATGTAGAACACGCTGTTCTGCCTTTTCTAATCATATCATTACTATCTTTCATAGTTTAAAATCCTCAGAGCATGTACTAAATATATTAAATACAAGTTATTCACCGTTACCTTATATGTTAACTATTATACTATTATACATTTTCTGATATATTATAGTTTTTGGATTACAAATAGACTTTTGCAGGAATTATAAAAAAATGAGTACGATTTATTTAATTTTTAGAAAAAAAAAAGTAGGACGTAAAGTCTTATATTACTTTAATTTGAATCTTAAAAATTAGGAAAGTTACATGCAATCAAATCAAGAGGAGTTTATAATTATATTTACAAGAGATCGATTAAAAAAAGATTTTCATATATGCAGGGTTTCGCTTTGAGTATCTCGCGGTTTATTGCTCGGTGTGTAGGCTGGTGGGGGCACGCTGCTGTCGTGTATCTGTGTGAAAAATAAAAAAAAGGTGGACACCAGTAATTAACTTTAAAACTACATAATCAGATTAATTGGACATGACACGAAACAAGTCTAACGGCATGTTCAAAATGAAATGGTCTTGAAAAGATTTCAAAACTCTTTGAACCATGAATGAAATAATGAAAACTATGATAAAAATTAAGACGATTTCTATTGTGTTCGCTTATTCTTATTTTCTTAAGTCGCTGCTGTACTTGTTGCGGTATAAGTAAATCTTATTTTAACACGAGATTACTTACGAAACCGGCATTAAGATAGGCGGACGCTGGGTACACGGAGCTTCCAGCTGGTGCAGTTCTTGTATACCTGCAATAATGGCTCATGATGCTTACATTCGTATTAATTAAAAATCAAAGTTTGTATATTTGTGCTGTTTACCTTGGAGGTGCATCCCTTAATCGTTCTTCGACGTAAATTTGCAGGCTTCCAATAGACAGACGACTTTCGTAATTAGGTCTCGTTCCTACAGGCCTGGAAAAATTAAATAGTACAACTATTCAATTACTAAACACTAATGTATTTTGAGAATTAACTTTTCCCCCTTTTATACTATAGTTATCCCTTAATCTCGATTTTTTTAGCAAAAAATGTTATATATTACCAACACTCTAAAATGAAAATCAGATTCAGAATCTGCAATTTTTTTATATTTGTAACACTGGACAGTGTCGAATACAGGGTTAACGCAAAAATTAATATAATTTCCAAGGAAAGTGTACTTACTGTAAGTTAGCGGTAGCGGCGCAAAGTCTGTATAATAAAATGAAGGTCGTTATTATTCCTAATATTAACGCAGCTGCCATTATAATCTGAGTACTCGATACTAGAAGCATCTGGTCCAAGGAGTCACTGTAATTAACAAATAATTAAATTTCACACCACTTCGTAATATTAGCTAAAATCATAATAACTGACAAATGTCGAAACATCTCTTAACAAAAAATTGAGTTTAGTAGTTTTTATCAGATCAATTATTATCGATATCATCGAAAAGGAGGAGCCTCTGTAGATGAAGCCAAGGTGATAGTATAGAATCAAAGTTATAGTTATTTTATTTTACATACCGACATATCCAATTGCCATACGAATCATAGCAAGGTTGGCAGACACCCTGTCGGCATTGAAGACTCCCATTTTGATGTTCACTGCAACATGTTCCGAAACACTTTTCACCCAGACCTGAAATTTTATTTACTTTCTTTAGTCAATTTCGAAGTAACAAATGAACATAATTGCTACAAAGAATTATAAGTACGCGATTACACCAAATTTTAATAGGTTATTTATATAAAAAAAAACATACCGACGAATTAAGAAGTCGGCTAATAAGAACAACGTGGTCTAGTAGTCTAAGTTACGTTAATCTTACTAATATTATAATACTAATATTATCAGTGCGAAAGTTTAGATGGATGGATGGATTGTTGGAGTTTGTAGCCTAAACGGTTAAACGGATCTCGATGAAATTTGATATAGACGTAGAGGATAATCTGGTTTTTTTAACTCCACGCGGACGGAGACGCGGGCGAAAGCTAGTAAGGTACAAAAAGTAAACTTTAAAATACGATTCATGTGCACTATGTTACTTTTGTTACGTTATTTTTTTTAGATTTCGTTACAGACATAAGACGAAAGTCATTAGTATTTTTGGAAATAATACACAAAACAAAAAAGTTATAAATAAAAGATTAAGACCTGGACATCTTACGCAACGTGTCTGAAAGTGGTTGGGCGTGTATCCCTCTGCGCAGTAGCATTCATCATTTATACATACGTAGGCTTCTCCTACGCAGTACGTCACACCACATTTTTCTGGAAAATGTAGATCAAATAATATTTCAATATAAATATTTCTCGCAACAAATGAATACTAAATTAAAAGCAATAGATTCACTTGTGGAGTTTCCTTATCAGTAATCAGCAGTTAGAAAAAATTAAAATTGGTTACAAAAATGAACAGTTCAACGACAAGCAAATGATTTAAGATATTTTGATAAGAATTTAAATTACGAAAAGATAATAAAAGTAAATAATAACAACAAATATCAAAAATGTAACAGAGATATGGAATATAATAAAAAATGTCAAAATTTCTAGATCTTTACTTTTATCTAAATCTTAAACAATCAAGACTTAAAATAAATAAATAAGGAAATTATCATCGTATTTACACGAGTGTTCAACGTTTTATTTGTGAATATAAAAATTTTACAACATTCAGTTAAAAAGATAAGAGACAAAAACTTAATATGAAGATGCGAAATATGAGAACAAAAATCATTGTGTAAAAATTACTTGATAACAATCATACTAAGGAATGTAAGAGTACGATAAAATATATAGATTTCTTTACTTTGCTTTGATGTATTAGTGATCGATAGATGAAGATAAATTGTCGAAAGTAAAAAACAATGGTCATGACCTTAAGTGGCAATGGCGCGCTGAAAATAAAATACATTTACTTTTTACTAACAGGACAAAGACCTGATACCTACAATTAAACAGTTTTTATGTATTAGTAGTTTTATTATGAAGTTGTAGTGTGTTTAAATTCAAAACGTAACCCTACTCTTTTAGAAAGAATAAAAATTTTAGGGATTACCTAGGAGATCATAACTGATGCAGCTTCTTGCGATCTACTATTTGATAAACGCTAATCATATAACTATATTAAAATAATACATTTTAGAGAATAGAGAAAAAATTACTTTATGAAAAGAGAGTTTTTACTAAACGTAAATAGGAATAGCACAAATAAGTGAGTCGTGGACTGGACGCTCTAATTAGAATATGGAAACCAGTAAAATAGTTTTTCCAGCAGTATTTAGATTGATTCAATATATTTGTGAATTAACAATAAATAAATCTAAAACGTGTAGGTTTAAATTTGGAAAATAATAATAATTTTAACACTTTCAAATTTAAAGTATTTTATAATAATGCAATATTTACAGCCGATACATGATCTGATGGTCTTTGTGATCTTGTATTCAAACTTTAATGGCACATTTCGCTAACAAATGTTAAATACCTATCAAATAATAGTAAACATTCTAGGTTATAATAGAAAAGGGTTTAATATTAAGTCAAATTTATAAACGCTTTAACTAACAATATAATTGCATTACATACTTTTAAAACTTTAATCTCTGCGTAATTATTTTTTCCGAAGAAAATAATTTCTTTGTTATATACTACATTGTTACAGACAAGTAAAATTTAAAATATAACGTGATATTCACGTTTTAAATAAATATCAAGATTTATAGACTTAGCAAATACTTATTGTAACAAAGTAAAACAATGCGTACCTAGAATGGCTTCATTTATTCGTAACAACGATGCAAAAAATACGCAACAAAACACAAACCGTAATGACATTTTGGATCACACTGAAAAACTACCGTCACATCATTTTCTATACGGTTTTTTTCACGCGCAATATAACACGTACGAAATAAATTTGTAACATAATGAAACGATGACAGTGAGGGTACGGTGCGAACGTATGAAAAGGCTCACTGATAACTTATCAGAGATCTGGCGAAGTAGCGATATCTGTACTTGCACGTCATTCATTATACTGAATGTTGCCGCGACAGATTTACTATAACCTTGAATCCGTTACTAATAAAAACAATGGTTATTCGCTTGAGTTAAATCATCGAATCGTTTTTACGAAGAAATAAAACTATTTATTGTACAAAGTGTGCATTTAGAAAAGAATCTTCCTAATATTATAATTGCGAAAGTTTAGATTGATGTTTGTTAAAGTTTGTAGCCTAAACGGCTGAACGGATCTGGATGAAATTTGGCATAGATCTAGAGTATAGTCTGGAAGAACACATAGGCTACATACTTTTGTTTTTTTTTTAACTCTACGCGGACGAAGTCGTGGGCGAAAGCTAGTTATGAATAAAGATATGTTTGTAGATCATCCTCTTGATTTGTCTTTAGTTACCTATCACATGAATTATAATGTAGTTGTAGGAATACACAAATTATGTTAATGTTCAATGTGCCAATATTACTTATTCAGGTTCCTTTTAGAAGACAGATGTGAAAAACCAGAAAGAGAAAAATGCCTGTTATTCCGGTTTTTATTCACTCAATTAATGATAAAAAATTCAAGTTGTATTGAGGTTTAAATTTTCATTTACTTATGATATTTATACCATTGGTGAATTAAGTAAATGAAACAAAATCTTGTCGTGACGATATAATATAAAATATATGTGTTAAAGATAAAAACTATAATTAAAAGTTATATTTATAACAGAATGAAATTAATAACCGATATGAAAAAATGAGGTTATGTAATCATCGTGGTAAAAACCATATGTAACGAGGGAAATATAAAATTGGAATCTACATTTACCTCGGTCCCTCACGGTCTTACAGTAAGATGAGAAGCTTACACAGTTCCTTCTTGAATAATCCATCTCTTCTTCTTAAAGTGCCACCTTCTTCCGAAGTTCGGCGATCAATAGGACGACTTTCGTTCTTGACTCCGCGGCTCTAATAAGTAAACGGGTGCTCTTTCCATACCACTGGTGTAGGTTTTTGAGCCAGAACGTTCTTCTTCGACCTACACTTCGCTTTCCGTGGATCTTGCCTTGTAAGATGAGCTGCAGTCTTTTTCTTCATGGGCTCTAACACGGTTACATTTTTAATTTTGTCTCTCCAGGATATCTTTAACATTCTCCTGTATACCCACATTTCGAAGTCGAAGTCTTCGGACAGGACTTAATCCGTCTCCCTTGAGTCTAATTACAAGATTTGTGTTCATATCCAAGCTGATTTCATAGCTTGATGCCTTGAATAAACTTTTGTAAACTATTGCAAGATAAAACAGGTTATTGTAGTTGGGCGAGTGAATTCAATAAAGCACGATAAAACGTATGTATGTCAAAACAAACAAGTCCCATTTGTTTGTGACAAAAGGCTTGACCGCACAAACCATCATCAATCTAATACAAATAAATAATTGATTTGATGGTCGCCGCAACCCCTGTCAGTTGCAGAACGAACATTTGTCATATGTTTCGTGCTGAAAGAAAAATGCTTTTATTTGAGCAGATAAATAATTAGGGTATATTCATCACTTAACAGCGTACATATTTGTCTCTTTCCGCTGTGAAAAATATTAACAGCATATACTGTCTGTAGTTTTACCAGTATAGCTATAAACTAGCAAAATATTATTACATTAAAATTACATAATTTAATTTATGTTTAGATATACTTCTTCGTAGAACCTCAACAGATTGGATTGTAATACTTACACGAACAGCTCAGCTAAAAAGTTATGGTTACAATTTCATTAAACAGTATTGTCCAAATTAATTCTGAATTTGTGCACATAAATAGCCATTAGTTAAATTATACGTCGTAGCGATAAATTTGGACGTAGCAACCCCTAAGTAGAAATGATTGTTACAGCTGTTTAGATAAGGCTTGGGCCAATAGCTTCAACGTGTAAATGAACAATCACATGCGCTTACAAAAGTAAAATAGCAAATTTTGGAACAATTTCAGGAAAGTCCTAATGTTATCTATTTAGTCAAGATACGATTTATTTAAGAAGAAATGACGTTCCTACGTCCAGTTTCACAAAGTCAAGCTAACTAAATCATATTAATATCATTATGACAAACTAGTCATAGTAAAGTGCTACAAAACAGAAGTAGGGAAATATTTTATCTAGCACTATCAGTTAATCAAACACCCTCTGTTCTTTTTGAACAAGTTTCCTATGAACGTCGATGCGGTTGTACAAATTCTGTGAACATTCGGTGAATAAAATGTAATTTTTGAACAAACAGCATATAATTTATGATATGTAGGAGACACCAAATTACAGATATATGAATTTTCATATCATTATTACCAAGAGCTTTTTGGACGTTTTTTACCATATACCATACCATGAAAACTATCTATTGATTTGTGTGTCTATGAATCTATGAAAGATTGAAGTTACTACCAATTACAATACCATAAATTTAGACATTGGAATCCGCCTAATTTTATCCAATAAAAGATTTCAATCAATATCAAACTTTATTACAAAATACGAACGCTGTAATCAATGAATATAAAAAAAATACAAAACAAACGAAATGATTTGTTAATAGTTTTAATTATCAATTAAATTGTTATTGTTTGATATGATTCAAGAGAAGTAGGTCACACCCGCTGCAGGAGGAATCAAAACAAAATGTTTCAATGAGTAACCTATCAATATCGGACTTGATTTCAAATTTACGCAAACATATGTACTCCGACTCTTTTAAAATAATTTATTATTAAAAAAAATCTCTCAAAAATAGAGTAGCCAGTAAGAAAACTATGGTTTTTTTGTACCAAAAAAAAAAAAAACAAATTTGTATTATGGTTTTAGCAGCAACCTTATTTTTGACTTTATCAGTGATTATTCTTACTTCAAGTTTGGTGAAGAATCCATAAAAAATTATTTAACTCTGTACCTAATAAAACAGACAAACTGAAAGTTCATCTATTTGTGTTTGTATTTTATCTATTGGTAAACGAGACAGGCGTTTGCAATGACTTGTTTATGACTTGGCAGTATCAGGCGCCGGCCACGAGGGATGTATCGATAAACTGACGAACAACAACAAAATTAAGGTTAGGTCAATTCTCTAATGATGATTAAATAAGTCTACCAGAGGAGACGTCGGACATATTTCAATGACAGGTCTATTTATGTTTGTCTATGTAAGTTGCATTATGGAAGTCTTCAAGTTTGAACCATATTGAAGAAAAGTATTAGTTCATTTCCTAGAGGTGTAAAGGTAAAAAACATCTATAATTTTAAGTCATTAACATCAGAACACAAAAATATAATATCTGTAATTTAAGATAACAAATGTATTTTAAACTTTATATAAGATCATCTGAGTTAATAGATTATTGCAGATGGGAAAATACAGACTTATCTCGTAAACAACATTTCATAATGGATTATTGTCTAATTGCAAAGATATCCGCTTAGTATAATAGATTCTCTATCCACTGAAGTCAAAATCGAGCACAATAATCTTTAAAGTTAAAATATTAACTTACTTTAATTCCATTTCGCTTTAAATTAAAAAGCGGTACAACACATTTTTATCATGGTTTAGTTTATATTTAATTTGACGTCCTTTTCGTATCAAAAAACGAAGTAAACAAGTAAACAAAGACCTTTGACCCTTTATTTTTAGTTTATTCGTACAGCGATGACTTCCGGCCTATCTCTCACCTATCACCCACACGATAGTGCACTGTTGCTATGTGCCCGCAACGCACCCATTTTATCAGTGTTAGTTTATTTTGTGCTTAGAGACGTTTTCTATTAATGTATAAGTTTAAAGCCACACACAGTGAACTAAATACTTCACTGATTTTATAATTCAAAACGTTTTTTTCTCTTTTCTTACATCTACAATTCTAGTCTCAAAGCTTAGTAAAGTAGTTCGATATTAGTTACTTTTTTTGGTTTACAATTCAATCGCACAAGCATTTGCGAAATTTTATTTTTGACCTCTACGATAAAGTACGTAGTTATTCATGAAGCATAGGCGTCGTAATTTGATGATCTAGTTAGGTCGATGGGGAGGAGGACTGCTGTCCCCCTTTCTACACTTTTGGCGATTCAATGCATATGACTATATAAAATCACTAATCATTCTATTCGGTTAGCAACAACTTTCTCAAGATTACATAAACGTTTTTGAGTCAAATAGATGCCTGATAACAGTTTGTGGGACAAACACATTGTCGACCCCAGGTCACGGCGGGCAAATAAATATTTATATACAAATTGTTTTTATTATACAAAAAGTTTGATCCGATAATTTAAAAGAAAACTTAAATATCACGTAATAACGCAGACAGGATGCCTGACTCGCACGAATGTTGATGAATAAACTTACGTTGGTACAGTCACCTAACATTCACAAATATCGAGAATGTTGTATACGGCTCTAGATTTAAAAATGCAAACAAGTATCCGTTCCACAATCGTTCATCCGCGGACAAACAAATGATATATTTTATGCGGGTCTATATTTGTAAATTACGTTTTTGTTAAAATTTCAATAAAGAAACAAACGTGATTGAGTACGGCAAGAGTTTCTAATGTTATAACAGTCGAAGATCCGAATAAAAGCCTAGGTGGTTACTAAAGGTGAGCCTTAGTGTACAAATATCATACTAATACGCTAAGACCCTGTGCTGCAGTTAAAGCATATGTTACTGCTGTGTCTTCCATTACTTTGGATGGACTCTAATGCTGAAGATTGTTCCACAATTATGTAACTAACAGGATATTGTCGTAAGAATTAATCATTGCATTTAAATACTAAGTTCAAAAGACATCAACAACAAACCTTATTATCAATTAAGATAAGAACAAAACACATTTAATTGATTTCTTTTGAATAATTTATTGCAATTGCATTAATTTCGATACTAAGAAATGTTTTTAGTATTTAATAAATTAATTAGAGTATTTATTAAATAATGAATGGATAGTAAATCACGTATTGTTCAGTTATCTTTAATCTTATCGTAATGATATTTTGTAAATGACATTATCGATGTAAGTTTTAAGTAATTCCGTACTATGGACCAGAGTAAGCTTATTTTTAGAGCGGAATCGTCGTTGTAGCTTCATTCATCAGGTTACTGTTAACCAGACCAACCATTTATTGTGCTATTAGTTAAATTAAAAAAGTTAAAATGGATGTCAAATATATCGTACGTATAATTTTTTCTCGTTATAATTTTTTTTTATTGTGATTTTAAGAGTATTTAATTAATTTTATGTGATTGTGTTAGTGACTTTATATATGTATTGTTTAGATATATTTTATTTGAATTCAGAATTTCGGAAAGTTGATATTGATAATGCTGTAAGGTTTTATCATAATTTAAAAAAAAACAATACTTTTTATTTAAATAATCCTTTTTAAAATTAAACAAAATGAGATAGATTCATTTGCACACTTCAACCATTCTACAATATTAAGTATTCATTTATGAAAATAATTTTTGCCCATTTATTTATTTTTGGTTAAATTCCTTTTTACTTTTTAGATGCTACTTTTAATATGTGTTTTATATCGCTTGATAAAATTAGACATATTTTCAAAATTAAGTATTTCGTTTTCAAACACAGTATTTCTAGTTATTTATTAACAATACTAAAAAAAATCCAAATTCTTTTTTTTTGCCTAAAAATCAATTTGAGAAAGTGGATTAAAGTAAATCAGAGTTTTATCTAGTTCAAGGTAAACAATATAACACATTGACTAAGCAGAAATGATATAGAACGTAAACAATGGCTAATGCTTTCCAATGTTATTGTACCATTATCAACATAATTAGAACGACTCTAAAAATAGACAACAGTCGATATCTCCTAGCTCAATAAACAACCATATTCTAGACAAATATTTATTGGCTACAAGTTTATTAACGATGTTATTACTCTCATATTGATATAGGTTCTTACAATATAAAAAAAAAACTTAACATATTTTTGATAATCAAACACGTCCTATCTCATTGTGTTAAGTTATACATAGATAAGATTTGCGACTAAACTTCGTATATTAGGACATTTAATTTTTGTATTAAGGAGATATTGTGAATATGGTGTTTTCTTTTTAGCTGTACGTTGTACTTTTGTTAAATAGAAACATCAACACGGCGTACGGATCGGATATCAACGACACATTCAAAATAACTGACAGAGTATTCAGCTGCAGTAACTGGCTATCATCGCTAATAGACAATATTTGCAATAATGTATACAAAATTGTTAAACGGGATACATCGCTAATGATCGGTGAGTACATACTTCAGCCCGAGTCCGTAACTCATATCGATTTTAACATCGATAGTTACATTATCACATTTGTGTATATTTGAATCGGTATTACAACATGTTGATATGAAACATGTGCAAAAGTTTAAATGCGCGTGTATTCAGTTTGAAACGGACACACGTTTGTAAATAAAGCAGTGTACATACCGTGCATTTTAACACTCAATAGCACGTGTGCACGTTTCTTTATTTGTCATACAATAAATGTTGAGTGAAACCGCAAAAGGAATTTTCGAGATCGCGTAAGAAAATGATATTAATAAACAAGGTGCTATTTTTGTTTTAGTCCATAACAACATTCTGGGTAATATTTGTAGTAAAATGTACACTTTAAATTAACTACATTAAGTCTACAGTAGTAGACCACAAAAGACGACCTAAATGTAGGGAGATAATGTGACAAACAGCATACTTACTTTGTAATGTTAGATTAATATCTAAGATAATTCTAATAGTCATTTAATTTTCAGAGAAAATGGCACCTAAAGATCTACAAAAAAGCATGTACAAGCAACGGTTACTTACCGAAGAGCATTGGCGACGTGTGCGGAGACAAGTCGCCAGCGAGTGCTGCGAACGAGCGTGTACAGTCGGCAACATAATAATGTACTGTCCCGACGACGCAAAACTATTGAGAGAAAATCCCGACATATTCTATTGAAATCAATGAGCAAGAAAGCCATCATGGTACATACAAGTATCAGTGATCATTTCAAAATCTACCTCATACTTTCGAAAGACGCTGATGTTCCGAAAGTGTAACTTTGTAGTATTCCTTACCACTGGCAAAGTTACAAAGTCCGTCCAGTATTTACGTGGTTAAATATGTGATCTGATGAATCAATCTACATATATTGCAAAAAGGTTTTTTTTCCTTTTTATGAACATGAGTGGGTACATTTAGTAATTTTGCAAAAAATATAAATGTTTTAGCGAAAAGGAATATTTAGCAAAGCTTTAGATGTAAATTATTAGCTAATGTATTTTGCTTAAATTATAACTATATTCGATTTTGTCCCACTCTACTTATACCTTATTTAATTGTACAGGATAGTATTATTGTGATAGTATTACAATTAAAAAGGTAAAGAAGGAAACGCTTGTTTTTTTGTTTACTCCCAATAGGTATAGTGACCTCTACGTATTTTCAAAGATAGTATTTGCGTTGTCTACCTTTAATGGTTTGAACAGGACAAACTAGAAAAAAACTGTCATTTTTTTAGCAGCTTTCTTAACGCCTTTTTAAATAAATTAAATATAACGCAAAAAACGAATAGATTTTTAAAAGTACTAGAGAAATAGACAGGCCCTTTAAACAAATACGTTCAACCTCTCGTACTTTCCGATCATAAAAAAGCTTAGTCAAGTATTTAACAAATAGTCGATTCTTTGTACTAGTATATAATTCTCATCGATTGCTTTCTTTGTGTACTAATGGAAGCTTTTATTTTTTCTTCTTTGTAATCATTCATAACAATTTCAATAATAGGAATGTTCTTTTGATAGAGAAAAGAAAAGACGAAGGGCCGTCGATATTAATTGATTACATTTTATAGCGCTAGAAAATTATGTTTTGGTCTTATATAAAAGAAACTCCTCGCGATTTATAATATCTTTAATTTATCATTACATAGTTAATTAAACGTTAGATATATACAATAGCAGTTTTCATCACTCTTCTACTTTTCCCCATTTTGGTTACGCACATCAATTTTTTTCTCCTATTTGACAAAAGTTGGAATAAATAAATATTGTCTCACATAATAAAAATAAACTCATTAGTAAAGAACTAAACCAAATTAAATAAAAGTACGTATATTTAACTTAGTGGAGTTTTTTTAACGAATAATGCTTAAGTAAACTATGTATATAAGCATAGTATGTTTCAGTCGTATAGACATCGCTGCCGAAGCGTCGGGATTCGTTTCTAGTCACGAAACAGTTGTTTTGCCTGAAAAATATTACAAAAATCTTTGCAAAATATCTATAAAATTCACTTTTGGAGCCTCTAAATGTTTTATGATACTGTAGATTAGAAAGACCTTTTGTCCACAGGCTTTGGAATCAGATATTAAGGATCAAATAATTCATAAAATATCTATATTTATGTACATACCTGGTTTCTGCAAATGATGTTGGACTAATACAGGGAAAATAGAAGTTAGGGGTTCTTCATGTATTTCAGTCGCAGCAAACTCTGAGAAAGCTAAAGGAAAGAATGGTAATTGGTACTTAAACTCATTAATAAAGGAAATAAAAGTAAACTGTTGACTTGAAGAAAAAAAAGAAGTCTTTCACTTATAAGAAAAATATCATTAAAATATATACTAAAGCTAATTTATATTTCGAGTAACACACAGTTTTACTGAAAAATAAATCTTAAAATTAAATTTGAACGATTTCATAAAGTGGAGTACTAACTAAAGTTCGTCGCGGTGGTAACTGGGTTCGATGACGTCACAGTTCGAACCGTTGAAGTGCTGATTTCGGTCGATAAGGCCAGCGCTACGAAAGTTTATAAAAATATTTATATACAAAGTACATTAAGTAAATAAGAGATAGAAGTATTAACAAAAAGTCGCAACACACGTATACAAATAATTCGAGAAGTCAAAGTTCAGTAAATCTATTTCTATACTAATATATAAAGCGTAAACACACACTTCTTTGTTGCCTAAGATGTCAGCAATTACACCATTTTTTTAATAATTCTCATTTAAAAAAAAAAGCCCTACACTTGTGTCACGCTTTAGACTATATATTTTAACGCCATTAAACTTAGGGGGTAAATATTTTGGATAAAAACTCTAACGTGAGAAAGAGACCATAAGCTGCTGCTGGTAATTGATATTTTGACATTTGCAATTGAGAATTTGAAAGGTAAACAATAAATAAAGTTTTTATAATTTCATGCGGATGAAGTCGCACGGGAATAGCTAGTTAATCTTTATATTTAACCTTTAAAATACAAGTTATAAAGTTATAAGAAGCAAAGGGACTTAACGCAGTGAGTTTTATGGTAAAAACTAAATCATACATCGAATATTAATGTACAATGTAGATAATTATATTATAATGAATAAATAATAATATTTAATACTCACTGTAAAATGTGATATTGCCACTTTCAGTCCCAAGCGAGTTTTTTGCGAGGCATTGATAAACTCCTGCATCCTCTCTTGTCACGTTGTTTATTGTGACACTGGCTACGTGTACATTACCACGTGAGATTGTCTTTGTTTCGTACTTTAAACCTGTATAAATTGGTTATTTTGAACATTCGTAAATTTGGATGAAAATCAATTCTCATGTAGATAATTTTATCAATATTATAAAGAGGAAAAATTTTCGTATGTATTGAAATAACTCAACAACTATAGGGCCGATTGTAAAAATTCTTACATCGTTAGAAAGGTAATTATACATGGGCTATATTTTGTAATTTCACGCAGAAGAAGTTACGAACAACAGCTAATCATAACAAACCATGTAAGGGAGATGTCGCATTTTCTATCCTTCTCTGTCTTTTCTTCGATAGGTTATAATAGTTTAAAACTAGGACAAATATTGTAGTTAATACCATTCACTAGATTATTCCCGTTCATATCTCTCCAGTGTATCTCTGGAGCAGGGTAAGCTTCAATATGACACTTCAATGTACCAGTGTTGTAGATGTAAGCTCCGACTTGTTGCTGGAACGTCTTCACTCTTGGTCTGCCTGCGAAAACATACTTTTGTATGGATTTACATACTGACAGATTATTTCTGTTCATCATAAATCTTATATCCGTTTTATTGACTTCGTACTTGTGCCCGAGACCCATGAGATTAGAAAAAACTTAATTAGTTGCCTATGTGTTCTTCCATAATATGTTTTATATCTATGACAAATTTTAACGAGATCCATTAAGCCGATCTTGAGATATGTACGACAAAAACCCATCCATTTTAACTTTTGGCATTTATAATATTAGTAACATTTCATATAAGGTATTAAAGTTAATATTTTCATAACTTTAGCATACATTAATTAAACACTTCCTCAAAAATTTCCAATAACAAAGTTTGAAGTTACAAACATTTTTGACAGGTTGACGTACGTAAACGGATATACCCCGTAGCGGGCTACGAAATTGTAGCATCGCTACGATTGTGCTACATTTTTATACACAGTAGAAAATTTAAATTCGACACACACATTTTTATTTATTTTGTCTACGACTTCAAAAAGAACTATAAAATGTTTTTGTACAAGTTTACGATAGTGGATACCCACACAAAAAATTATATACCTAAGACTTCGAGCATATCGAACATGACACAAACAATGTCTCAAAAACATGACAACTTACTCAAGACGTTTAAAAGTATCCTCTTGCTGACGCTGGGTGGTATTCCATTGCTGGCTATGCAGAGAAGTACGCAGTTCACGTCTCTTCTAGTCACAGAAATGTTCAGCCACTCGCCTTCCCATTTCAACACTGAAAATGTAACTTGCACTTTTTATCTTACTAATCGTCTTTCTTCAGAGTCCATCGGGACATAGGAGGTATAAAAGTTAACTTATAATTTGTATAACGTAAAAATTATTGCAACATATTTTACGAATGACATAACCGTAAAGAGGTATGTTTACCTAATTACTGAACTGAGCTGCCATTACACAAAGTAAAACGAATGACAATTTACTGGTAAATTCAACCGACATCTGGAAATTAATTTCGGTAATAAATGTTATAGAAGTAGTTTCGCATAAATTGTGAATATGATTTCGTATTTGAATAATTGTACCTACTAAAATAGATTCCTTAATCATTATTGACATTTTGGCTTGAATACCAAAGCTACGTCGGTATTGATAATTTATTTATTATCTTAAGCGCTATATATTAATAAATCCTAATGTTAGGAAGAGTTAAAATTTGTATTTTTGTATGTAACGAATACTCAAAACTATTGGATTTCAAAATTTTTTCACCATGAGAAAGCTACATTATACGACATACTAATAAGATGCGAACAGGTACTAATAAATATCTTAAAATATTTAATTACAGTAATTGAAAATTATTACATCTACAACTGGTTACCATTTTCACCAGCAATGAATATAGGTTTAGAGTCCTCCCTTCTCCAAGTAATATTGGGCTGTGGGCTGCCTGATGCCGTACAGTGGAGGGCTACGCTGCCACCCTCCGCCACAATCACCTCACCCGTGCTGTTGGAATCCACGATCTCCGGTGGAACTGACAATAAAATAAAATTCAATTCCTACAGTGAATATTTCTTAACACATCGTAGCAGAGTAATTTAAATAAAAGTTTCAAATAAATTTATTAAAATTGAACAAACCATAAACTTGAAGCTGATGTTCTTGTACTATCATAGGGTCAGTGTTGAGCTGGCACATGTATCGTCCAACGTCACTTTGTCGTACGTCTTTTAGTGTCAAAGTGCAGGAGTGAGGGCCACTTAATACACCTACTCGGGGGTTCTTTGTAACTACCAACTGACCCACTGTTAGTATAGTCTGTGTATCAACTCGCAACCACGCCACCTGGTGACCAGAGGGTAAATATGCAGACCAAAGTCTTCTAAAGCAACTTTGTTTGTCATTTACTAAAGTTTATTGGATTGTCACAATTATTTTATATTTCTTTGTAACTCGAGCAGAAGTTTAATTCCTTAACATCATATTTTCATTTAAATGTTGTTTGACGAACCCGTATTTTCAGGAATTCGAGTTTGTCAACAGACCCGCCTTATTTCATCCGAAAAGGTCCCAAACGGGACAAGTTAGAGCGATAATTGCTCATCGGAGGGACAAAGTGCGTCCACGTTCACCCTTGATGTCACGAGATCGCTCTGTGGCGAAGTGACGTGTCAAAATCTCCAATGGGATGGTGGAACTCTGGGCAAGTAGTTATGGGTATAATTTTACTTTTGAATCTAAATTTATTTTAAAGCAGTCATAAACCTACTAATCGTACTAGAATGCTCTATAGGAATATGAAGGTATTATAATGCAATGTATACCATGTAGTTTTGTAAATTTTCCACGTTGCAAGTTAAATATGCGTCACGGCCCACCACGACTGTTACATTTGTCTGGGATGTGGTTATACTGGGCACGTCTGAAACAAAAACATCGGCAAGCATGGACAATTGCCTATCGGTAATTCTCTTAAGTAAAATTCATTAAAAACCGTGCCACTGAGGAATAGTAAAAAAACATTTACGCTATACATAATATTTCATATTTACCTTTTGCAAAAACTATATACAGGATCACAGGAATTAAAACTAATTTTATAGAACACATTTTAAATGTTCACATCAATAACAATTTCACTTTAATACTGTTTTTTTTTACACCAAAAAGTTTCGCGCGAACAATTAATTTGAATATTTAGCTCGGAACTTTCAGACGTGTTGTGCGTCGAATTCGCGATCCTAACTGGCTTTGAATACAATGAAACAAAAATAAAGGCTGCGGAAATGCGCAGGTCCAAACAGTATATGAAAATTCTTGTAACTGAAACTATTTCAATTTAAATGTTTTATAAATTAAGATACAAAATTGTTGTTTCTATGCGCCTTAAAAACAAAGGTCATAAAGAATTAATATGTACAAAATATATTTTTAGCGCCTTGGAATTAATATTAGTAATCAACTATTCACCATATCGATAAATGTCGTATGTATAGAATGTTATCACTACAATATAACAAGTAAAAGAAACTTTGAATTCTTTTGAAAATTGCGGGATCAGATGAACTTTAAATTTGGTAAGAGTTAAAGTAAATGTTGCGAAAATTGTATGAATAACGGTATATTGAATAAAAACAATGAATTACGGTTAATTGTCAAAAAATTAGCCACTGTTGTTAAAATTAAATACTCGTATCCCATGAAAAATCTAATAACTCAGTTTCACTGCTGCGACCAGTTAGTCTGCCATTAGAGTTGCAGCAAAACTAATTGGGTTAGATTTAGCTCCGTACACCGTGTCAGCATTGTTAAAATCAATTTGGTAGCAAAGCTCTTCTATTATTTATATCCGTTTTAAAATTTCAGGTCTGCCTAGCAGCAGGCATTCGTTTTTATTTTCCTTAATCATTAATAAAAATATCAAATATTTTAAACCCTTTTCCTTTATGTTATCGTATTCGAATTGTTAAAACTGATTGTTATCTTATTATTAAATAATTTTCCTCTTTAATTTGGAATCCTGACTTTAATGATCAATTATTTTTAAACAGAAGCGGTTTGTATCAAAAGTCAACAATATTATACTAACTTTTATTGTATCAGTATACAATTTTGTTTTCTATAATATTAGAAATAAAACACGTTTTGATTAATTTTGTATTACCTTTATATTCAATTGAAACATTTTTATTTGCCATTAAGTCGTCCACAGTAAGCTTCAACGATAAAGAATATGATAGATATGACCCAGCCTAAAATCAACAAACCAATAGTACCTGCGAAATACTTAACATTCATAGGTTCATACTGATTCTTTGTTTGATCATATTTATTTTGTAAGTATGTGCTTCGCGTGTACACTCGCTGTATAAAACCGCATTCCACAAGTATCTTCAAAATTCTATTAACTGGCCCAGTTAGCGCAGAGTACTTTGTAAAATAAATCACGGAAGGACTGTTCACGATCTTTTCTGGTATGATTTGCAGTTTTCGTGAACCGTTATATTGTTTTAAATATTCCATTATAACTTCTTTATTGAACGCCAGCACGAAGTTTGAAGTTCCAGTCGACAGTTCATCTAACATCTCATAAGTATTAGAGAAGTTTAAAGGAATCCAATTGCTAAATAAATCATCGTCTTCTGAATAATATTCTCTTAAAGATTCAAGACCACCGAAGGGATATTTATCACGCAAAACATCTTGTACACTTGAAAATTTCTTCTCGTATAACTTATGTTTCAGTGAATCCTTAAGTGCTGCTTGGTAACAAGATCTAATAATAAAACTAAACCAAATCCAAATGTAAACGAAGACAACAAAATTTCGTTTCGATGGCATTCTTAAAATTGGCAACCCTAAAAATAGTACCCAGGAATAAAATAGTAAATTAACATTAGACGGTGAAGTATTAATTACTTGCGTAATATTTTTCCAGAATCGTGTCTTAGTGAACGAGTTTAATAAAACAATAATTAAAAACATCAATATTAATATAAGTCTAGAATAAAATTTTAGAGGATGTAATAGTTTTTCCCAGGCTGGCTTTAATAAAGGTAATTTAGCGGTCCACACAATATCCATCGTATTGTATGTGAAAGAAATCTGAAAATTTCCATATAAATCTGAAGTAAGTGGAATAGAACACATCGAAGCTTGGGCTTCGAAATTGTAAATATCTCCCAGTGAACCGGTCCAGTTGTTATCTTCATATGCACCCCATATTTCACCTCCCGTAGGTAATTTTATTACTAAAGTAGCATTTAATATTTCCGTTAAAAGTGTCAATACGTCGCCATCAATTCCGCTAGCGTTTTCAGTGGAATTGTTTAATATCATAAAAGGAGGCTGCTCAAATGTAGATACAATTAATGGACACTGGTAAAAATTTGTTAGTTGCTCTTTGAACAGTGACTTCCAATACATTCCGTTTTCGCTGTTGTTATAATTTATTTCAAACGGATTATCGTTAACACATTTTTCGGGTTCTATAAAACGATATGAATATATTTGTGGACTATCATCGTTCTGAGCTTTCAGTACTACGACATTAGGAATGTGCTCAGTAGATAACGTGTGGAAAATTTCTTTTTCTTCACATTCTTCGTAATCAATCGCAGCACAAACAATAATAAATTTTCCAGATGTATCGTACATCGATTCTCTTAGCCATTTCAGCATATCTGTTATTTCAGAAGACTGTGTTCCGAACAAAACGTATTGTGGTATATGCGTTCGTCGAGATGGTAAATTTTTGCCTCGCTTCAAAATAACGGATTGATTGTATTTGCTCAGAAATGCGTCGACTGCAATCAAGGTCTGTATATTGAACATAACAAGTGTAACGAATCGCCATTCGAAGTGGTAGTAGCCAATTTCTGAAGCCATTTCACCAAGTTTTAGTATAACAGGTGGATCTGCATCCATAAAGAACTGAGCACAGTTTGTAGATATGCCACACATGTTCGCCGTTCACATTTACATACAAAATAAAAATGTTTTTTTCTTAATGAGCGATTGTCGTGATTGCTAATACTTCACAGTTGATATTGTCAGTTTAATTTTCTATTGCAATATGTTGTCTATGCAATCACTTAGTATTCAAATTGTTTTATCATGATTACTTCGCATACAACACAAAGTAAAATAATTTCAGCAAATTTAATTACTTATTTTATGAAGTAAACCTTGACCTTCCAGCAACCAGTTCTAGTATAAAAAATACGAGTGATATAATCCAGCCGCCGATGAGAATAGCGTAACAACCGGTATAATGCACTAGATTGATTGCCTTCTTTTTCCCACTCGACCTACTCCTATATCTCGATTTCGTATAATTCTTGTACAATTTAGAAGTAAATCCTGCTTCTATCAATTGCGTTAAAATTGTATTAATCGGTGCTACTAACGGTGAGAATTTGTTAAAAAATATCACAGTTGGGCTGCTGATTACCTTTTGTGGTAGCATATGCAGGTCGATGCTCAGATTTCTTTGAAACAATTTAAATGTCTCCATGTTTACTCCTATCACAAACTTCTGACCATTAGAAATGTTAAACATCATCGGAAAGATTTCATTGCTTTCTAAGTTAATCCAGCGGTTATAAATTGTTGGTTCATCGATATAGTAATCTTTTAGCGCCGAACCGCCGCCGATTTCGTAGTCAGCTGCTATAGCATCCTCTATTGTCAGTAGGTCTAAACGATACTTATTAGTCTTCAAAGCTTTTATAAGGAATACCGTGTAAATAGTTCTGACTAAGAAGCAGTACCAAATCCAAAAGAGAACAACATACAAGAATGCAGAGTTTTTCGGTAGCCTCGTAGACGGCAAACCCATACATAGTTCCCACGAATAGAACACAAGGCTGCGGCGAGGTCGTATCGTCTTAGTTGCTCGAAACACGCATTCACTGCATTTACTTTTTATGAACATAGCTAGTATGACAATAATTAAAAACGACAGTGCTAAAGCGATCCTTACTTCGAAATTAAAAGGGCGCATTAACTTTAAAGACGGAGATTCTAAATCTGAGGGGTGGGTAACCCAGACCACACTCACTGTATTATAATCTATAGACATTTGAAACTGTGAGAATCGACTGAGTGTGATGCTAGCAGACGTCATAGAAAAGTTTGCCAGGTTATAGTAAATATCCGCAAGGGATCCGGTCCAAGTCCCGTCCTCTTCCAGCTTACCCCATCCGAAGCCTCGACGTGGAGTCATCAGTACGAGACTAGCGTTTAACTTTTCTGCAATTAAAAGAAGCAAATCTCCATCGGCTCCTGAGGGAACACCTTTGGTTATTTTCATATAAGGCTTCTGTTTGAAAGTTGACACAGTTATTGGACATGTTTGTAAGTTTCTTAATTTCAAAGGAAACATTTTTATACATTTCTCGTCATTAACGAATAAGCAAGAATGCCAATTTTCTAATTTTGTTGGCCGAATCCTCTTACAGTCATACTTCGTGTTGAAATAGCTATACACGTCTGTCTCGTTGGATGATTCTCCTGTTTTGAGTAAGACAACATTAACTATTTTGTAATTCCACAACATTTTCACAGCCTTTGCTTCATCGCAATCTTGATTTGATAAACAAGTGATGATATACTTTCCGGTGTTGTCGAATCTACGTTTATTCATCCATTTCAACATGTGCTCGATATTTGATAGATTTGTATCGAAGAGAATATACTGATGAATGTTTTCCGCATATCGTGGATAAAAGTGACCATTGCTTAGGATTAAAGTTTTCTTGTATTTCTTCACAAAGAAGTCTATACCGTACAAAATAGTCATGTTGTAGAATACAAAAGTTGTGAATCTCCATTCGAAATTGTTAAGCGCTATTATTGCAGCGCTTTTTGCTAAATTCTCAAAAGCCGAAACATTTGAAGGCATCAGTAATTTATAATGGTTTTCATTAGTCAACATGTCGGTCGCGTTGGTGTAAGCGATTGAATATAATGTAGTCCGTGACAAAGCGCTACAGCAGCGGTGTTATCTTGAGCTAAAATCAAACGTAATGGTGCAAATGGATCGCACAATGAATCATAATTACCTCATAAAGTAATGAACAATCTTATTGAAAAAAAATCTGTCACGCAAGGTACGATGCTGAAGTTTTAGAAGCGATTTTCTTTATACATAAATTATCTTTATTGACATTATGGAATTTATTTTTCCATAGCCCAATCATATTGATTACACAGACTCCTTAAATTACTGATATTGGTATAGGTGTATGATTACAAGGTTAAAAAGAAACTACTCACTTAGCTGAAAAAAATTATATTTTATGAGAAATTATAATTTACAATATTACATACAGGCATCCATCTTCAGTCGAAACTTAAGCTAAAATTCTCACAATCTCACGCAAAAGGTAAAGCAACGTTAGACTATAATATAGTTTTTAGCATTATTTTGAATGTCCACTGTAAAAAAAATATAGGTAATAAATCACGCCAGTATAAGAGAATTCAGTCCATTCGTACGACAGTTGCCCGACGAGGAGGGCGCGGCGGACGGGCCGAAGCGTGCGGGCGGCGTCAGGCGAGACAACTTGTATTTGACATAAATTAAACTATGTGTACGCAGACAGAATAAGAAAATGTATAAGAACCCACGAGACCATCAGCGTTTTGGAGGACGGAAAACAAACCTAGTCTTTTCACAGAAAAGTCTGAAATTTAAATGAAGTTTTTCAAAGTTGTAAAACACGGCAGTGTCATTTTGTCTTTAAGTTTACTAGAAAATATCAATTTTACAATTTATTATAGAATATTAGAACTCAAATGTTTTTACATTAGTGCCTTTCAATAATCTTTAAAAATGTTTTCAATAACACCTGTAACTGTGACCAAATATCTAAATTGCTAACCATTACATAAAGTCAAATCCAAAGGAATATGAGTCCAGTTTCTAAACGGTCAAGATCACAAAGGACAGGATATCAAAGCTAACCACAAATTAAACAGAACATAAAATAAAGAAAACCATAGGTTTAAAATATTTATTTTTTTATATCCATAAAAGTCTGCAATTTAAAAGTGTAAGATAAAGGTAATGTTTGTAAATAAGTCAATTTTTTATTTATTTTGTGACATATAATTAGTTATACATATAAAAGAAAGTTTTCATAAATTAAATTAAATATTTCATACAGTTTCTAGTAATGTACGCTAGGTTGAGGAAGGAGAAGGGACTTAATCCTGGGATACTTCGGATTAGAATCATGTCCGAAGTACGCTTATCAGGGTCACGGCTTGATTAAAAAATATTAACCATTTTGGACTCTCACTATTTTCTTATTCCGTTTACATGATCATTACGGTTACTCACATCTGACGCCCACTGCACTGTACACAACTGTAAACACCCACATATATATACTTTAAAGTATTGAAAAAGAAAACTATAAGATCAGTCTGTACATCATTACTTATAAAGGTATTAAAACATATTCCCTTTGGCAAATAAGAGAGATTATCGATGGTGCTGTCTCCCCGGGCGGCGCGCGGTGAGACGCGGTGAGTCGCGGGGAGAGGAATGGGGAGTGGGAAGTCGGAGATTTGGGGAGAGTTGTGGAGTGAGGGGATGAGGGGGTGAGGGGGAGAGCGGCCGCCGCGCCGCTCCGCGCGGGCCGCGTACGCCGGACGCCGGACGCCTAACTCCTAACCGATCGTTTTTGCTGCACAGTTGCACAAACCAAACATAGTTCTATGTACACACAGATTGCACATCAATGGGTAACATCACTAGAAATATTCCAATATTGTGCGCTAAGTTTCAAATTCACAATATCTTGAGCATCTCGGACAGCTGTATCTTATAACCAAAAGCAAATAGTTTTGCTATTGACAGTGTCGGTGGTCGGCTGGTATATAAAACTGTTCGCTTCCTTCTCAAAAATTAATCGGAAACTCTTAAACGGTAAATAGAAAATCAAGTCACAACAACAAATAAGTTAATACAATAAGTTATTCCTTTAAAAAATAGAAACTTTGTTTCTGACTATACATAAAATAATTAAACAATAACACGAAGCAACACACTAAATTAAGCATAGCATAATAAAATTGTCTAAAACATGTATAGGAGTAGTTGTGTGTGTGAGAGCGGCCGCGGTTGCCAATAGCAAAACTGGGCGCCGAGCTGTCTGCTCGCTGCACTCAGCACGGTTACACCCAAATGTACAATATATTACATTCGTGTGGTAAAAGCTTTCGTGCAAAAAACTCCAGTTACGGTTACACAATTCACATTCCGCTTTATTGGATTTCTAGTAAAAAAAGTTTATATCAAATGCATCAAAAATGTCCTTACACAACTAACATAGTAACATTCTATACTGATATAATGCTATTTGTTTTCCTTTTTCTTGTTACAGATAACATTAGGAAGAAACCGAATACACCATACAACTGCGTACACAAAGCCTACGGTCGAACGTAAAAAATAAAAACGTTTCGCTTGAAGTCAATTCGTGTAGAAAACACCATTGTTAAATATAAACAGCTTAAATAATAACATATAACATATTATATCAAGTAACAAAATTCCAATGTACAAAATAAACGCATCATTAATAGAATATAATCTTCCAAGCAAACAGAACATACAGTAGTACTGAATTCGAGCTATTGAGAGGCGGCCGAGGTACAGAAAGGTTCTATTGTGTGTTGTCAACGAGTTTACACTCGAATTCTATCCACAGCAATTAACAGAACTTAACAAAATTTTAATGTCAGATAATAGCCATAATTAATTAAATGCCGAGCCAACTAAGATTTAATATTCATTTGCAAAAATGGCAGTGAGAATTGAAGTTGTACGCTTTAGGTGCAATTCGATTGGGCCATCTTATCACAAATTCATCCCGAAGTTCTGGTAAAATAAGTCTAATTAGTATAACAGCATTGTGGAATATGAAAATCCACAACCTTACATTTCTCGGGGTGACTCGCACGAGGTAAAAATCCATTAGAGATAAAATATTGGCCCCAAACAGAAGTTCCGTACCCGTGATGTCCCTCGGCCGTCTTCCAGCGCGTCCCCACTCCGGAGCGGCGCACAAGCCGCCGACAAACATCATCATAATTTAAATAAATACGTAATAGTAACACGGAAGCATCCCGATCGATAAAGCTGAAAGTCCCGTCTCGACCCACGAGGATGACGTGAAACACGCGTAAGTTCATAGGACTAGTTTGTTCAAATCCATCCGTCTGGACATAAATGTATACTAAATGTAGAAAGATATTATGGCAACAAACTTTACAAAAATCCTAAAACAATGACTATAAAGCAGGTGCCGCGACGAGCCCGGGCGGCGACGCGGCATTCAAAAATGCACAATTTAATAATTCACCGATACAGACACATACATAGTCGTGAATAACTTCATCATAAAAAAACATGTCAAAAAACCTGACGCGTCGTGAAGCGACCCATTCGGATCGAGAACGAATGATTTCCGACTCGTGCTAGTTTTGGGTTAAATGACTTACAATCTAACCTTATTTTTCTCATAAATCATTTAAAGATGTATCGGTTAGTCCATTCGATCTCAGTTCGTGAATTTACACTTTGTTGTGAAGTGATGATGTTTTAATTATGTGTTATACACAATCACAGAGCGGCGCGGCGCGGCGCGGCCTACACCAGGTTGTACTCCTTCAGGTTGGACTGCAGGATGGTGTCCTTCACGGCCGCGAACACGAACCGGATGTTCTCAGTGTCTGCAAACAACAATTATTGTTCAATTCAAAACAACATTATACATAACTGATTCTTGTATCAAAAAAATGTATAGTTTTTACTCTATCTCGGACTTAACGGATGTTGCATCTGTAACTTTGTAATCATCCTCTGTACGTCTTCAACACCGTGAAAATGGTTTCCTAGTTAATAGTCCAAATGCGTATAAATGGTAATACTGAACGAAGAAATCCTACACCATACCGTGTGAGTGTGTCCGAGTGTAAACTTTACGTGAGTTTAAAACTAAGTGTGTTTTTGATATGAAAAAGTGTAATATTTTATTCATTTTTAATGTAACCTTATACAAAATGAATCACAGTTATTGCCTTGCCTTTCTTTAGTTTAAATAATTTACACTTCGAAGACATCAAAACCTACGTTTTATTGGAGTTAAGTATTTTTAAAAAAGCTTTGAAGTTTTTTATAAAGCAAAAGTGCAAACAAGCGGCATTACCGAGATGCTGCCGCCTTTAAGTAAAAGGTAAAACGTAACGTAGTACCAAAAATTAAACATTCCTCCGCATTCATTTGTTACAAAATGTTATCGAAGATATAATAAAACGAAAACTGAACGACTTTATCAAATTTTACTACAATATCGTAAGAGGATATTAACGTAGAAATTATCAATATTTAATAGTTATGTCGACAATGGAAATAAGCTGATTAAATGGTTCTCTAACATTGTTTAAAAAAATAATTTAAGCATATGAAATAAATAAAATATGTTAATAAGCATGCGAGTCTTATGAACATTCTGTACATATTAAACACCAGTATACTCCCATCACCACAACACATGCTTAAATAAACCAACCCAAATATTACACACTTAAAAGGATAAATAAAACATACATGCAACTATACGTAAATTTTATTGGCAAATTAACACATATAAAAATAATATTACATTAAGCTAAATTAAATTCTTTCAAAGCGGATTGCATTATAGTATCCTTTACAGCACAAAACACTAACTTAATGTTTTCAGTGTCTTTAAAATAATCCAAGGCAGCATGCAAAAATTAAAAATAAATAGTAGATCTTGTTACACGTAAGGCAAATTATTAAAACAAACAAAACATGCATTATAATAATTTAAATAAGGGTAATGCAGTTTAAAAACTCAAGAGAGAAACATTATTTTTTTTTAAATCTGCACAAACCTTACAACAAACCATAACGTAAAAAGCATTGTTATTAGTCAAATATGAAAAAAAATCTAATCAATATAAAAGCTTACATACTTTATATACCAATGCTAAAGAAAAATATTTCTATAATTAGTGAAAAGCATAAAAATCAAGCGCACACAAACAAAAAATTAAAAACCCTAAACTGCTACAATTAATGACTAGAAAACAACAAATCACCTTATGATATCGAAGCACCCATGCAACCTGAGATTCTAAAAAAGTATAACATAAAGAAAAACATGGAAATCTATGAATAAGAAAAGATATAAGTATTCGAATATTATATGGATGAAAATTTTACGCAGGTTAATGTAATTAATGTCGTTCATTTAATGTTTGAATTAAATTCGTCATAAATAATGACTAAAACGTTAACAATGACTCTGAAACTTAATAAATAATTTGTATTGACTTAGTTATTCTTGTAGATACAAATAACCATTTGACGTAAAATGTTATCACGAATTTCCTTGCAGAATTTTCGATACAACATTCAATTGAATATTAATACAATTTACCTTATTAAGCTGAAAACAACGTAAATCCCGTTATTGGGGTTTTACGATTGCATTGAACGTAAATAAACATTAGTAACAAGTTTTATAAGACATTATTTTTGTAAAAGACTCTAATAAAAATTGCCTAATACAGTACTGACACGGAATTGTAAAACGGAATGGCATTTTATAATACTTCTATAGTAGAGCAAATCCGAAATATCTATGTATATTATTGTATAGTGGAAAAATGAACTAAATTTTGTAAAGTGTACTGTACAATCGAGGAATCTGAAGGTGTGTGTGTTTTAAAAGCAAACACCGCGAATTTTCGCTACTGTACGTTAAGATAACCCTAAATATCAAATACTAAAACGATTAATCAATACATCAATTCTTATGCCCCGCTTAGTCTGATAAACGTCAAAATTTGTAAGGAATTTAGAGTTTAATCGTGTCCTTATTATTTAAGACTGTTACAAATTTAAATGTCGTTTCAATATTCTGCCGTATGTACTTACCTGTCGCGCAGGTGAAGTGCGAGTAGATGATTTTCTCGGCGTCCGGATTGAGATCCACAAACATTCGCAGAATGAACTCGCGCGCGGTGCTCGCGTCGCGCTGCGGACCTGATGGTGCACACGATTGCCAACTACGCTTATACACTACGCTTAGAAAACTATTGGCTTACAAAACTCTTTTCATACAATAAACACCAATTACGAACTATACAGTCGAACTGAATAAATAAGAAACCTCTATACGGGATTCTTTAGTGGTCCCGAAAAACCTCACAGGCGAGAGATAAAAATAAGCGAGAAAAATATCGCAACTTTGAATTCTCGCATAAGCTGGATACACACGATTAGTTTTATCTAAATAATCGAATCATTCACATAAATCTGACATGTGTAGGCAAAACTGAGGAGTGAACAGTTCACAGTTTTATTTGATTTATTTGAACAATTACTGTTCAGATAAAACTGAACGTGTATAGCAGGCGTTATTTTATTTCGACTGTAATAATAATAAATTGAGTTATACGTTTTTTGCATCTCTTTTGGAAATTAAACTTATAAACTTGAAACGTTATTTTACATTCAACTAAATCGTTATGTAATGTTTTAGAAACCAATAAAGACAAGACCGACAATTCTAGCTCACAGTTAGCTTAAATCTATCACACAACGAGCGTGTACTACAGTTTGTACGTCGTGTTAGAATTCAACCTGTGGCGGTGGTGAAATGCGAGTAACAGGATCTCTCCGGGTCGGGGTTCTCCTTCAAGTATTTCTGAAGGATATACTCTCGAGCCGGTATCGGATCGCATTTCGGACCTAATCATTTTAAAATATGCATTTAAACATAAAACATTTCTTCAATTTAGTTAATTCCTTAGGATTCCTGTTCCTATATTCATTGAAATCTATACACAAAGATATACATAATATTATTGAGAGGAAAGATTTGTATGTATTGAAATAACTTAAAAACTACTGGGTCGACTTCAAATCTTTCACCATTAGATTGCTGAGTAACATAGGATATATTTAATTTTATGTTGACAAAGTCGCGAGCAACAGCTATTAAACAAAACATATTTTTCTTTGATGTCTTAAATTATAATTTAATTAGACATTTGCCAAAATGACGATTACAAAGACCTATTTCCTATTTCTCGTCTATCTATATAAGATATCGGGATATTTTTAATATAATCGTGATACAAACCGTCGTATTCTGGGAAATAGTCGACGAGATGTGAGTACATGATCTTCTCCTCGAGCAAATCCTTTTTGTTCAAGAACAAGATGACTGACGAGTGCTGGAACCAGGGGTACGTGATGATAGTCTTGAAAAGCGCCTTCGATTCTTCCATTCGATTCTGGAATTTAAAAAAAAATGTTGTTTTTGTATTCGATACCGATTCGATATGTATTGCCTTTATTCCCTACTAGCCCGCGACTGTGTCCGTGTGGAATTAAAAAAAAAAAACAAAAGTGACTAGCATATGTGTTCTACATTCGCAATTATAATGGAGGCAAATGGTGGTATTTAGATATATGTTGTTATATTCTTCTTTTTGATTACTGTGTACAATTAGATTTTTTTTCTTCTTTATTATCAGTTGTTTTTTGTATTTTTAACTTAAAATATTATTATTATTATTACTTTAAATATTATGTATTATCACATATGTAGATATAGTGTCACATTAGATTTATTCTGTAAAGATGCTATATTCTCGTTATTAAATAAATAAATAAAATAAAATTAGTAAGAACTAAGATATGAAAGTGACGTCGACAAAACACTTTAACATAACTTTCTATCAGACTTTATCGAAGTTAGTTGGCTTACAACGAAACGACGGTATTAAGTATGAGAAACTAGGAAACAATTCCAGTAATTTGTATTTATACAAGTCTGTGCAGATTCTCACGGCACTTTTTATCCTATTGTAATGCAATAAATAGCACGGTCTCACACAAATCATTGTTCTATAGAAAATACTATATACAGATTTTATATACTGATAGCCTTGATTATGTACCAACGGTACTGATCACTTCAAATTAATTTTTATAACACAATTTGTATAAAAAATAATATAGTATGTACAACTATCTATACCAATATAATAAAGCGTAAACACACTATTTTGTGGAGTAGGATGTCGGTAATCACAGCGTATTTTTGAACTCTGTATTTAATAAAAAGTCCTAGACTTACGACACACTTTAGGCTATACATTTTCACGTTATTAAACTTAGGAGGTTAATAAATTGAAAAAAACCTTCACTTAGGATAGGGGCCATAAATTATAAACTGCGAACTTTAAGGAAACAAGGTTATTACAACGTTAATTTTGACATTTCCAACTGAGAATTTGACAAATGCAAACAATATAATATTTTTTTTATAATAACATGCGGATGAAGCCAGGAACAGCTAGTTTATCCTAATACTGTATTTGCTACCAAACAATGGAAACTTTCTTCCGTTTGAAGAGGAATTTTATTCAAATATTTACTACATGATTCAATTTAAATTATTAGCATGTATTATGTACATGTATGTAAAAATGGTATTCTGATTAATCAAATTGGAAAATGTAGGTTTACATGGGGTTTTTTTTACATTTTTTATTACATAATAATCAAGACCGCTTGAAAGAACCTGAAGTTTTAGTACATTTTTATAGCATAATGTACTTAGTAAAACTATCAATCATGTCTAGTCTATTATTTCATGTTTGTATTAACTTGAATATCTATTGTTCTTTTGTTTTAATAGTATTGAAGATTAACATTTGATATCCCCTCCCTTATATTCTTATAAAAAAATAGAGTCGATAAAAGTTAAATATTGAACTCACCTCATTTTCGGATTCGAATAAAATTTGATCATATTCACTAAGAGCTACTAAGAATATGATAGAAGTGACGTTCTCAAAACAATGGATCCACTTCCTTCTCTCGGACCTCTGCCCGCCCACGTCTACCATCCTGTTGACCACAAACACATATTAAAACCAAAATTTCAATTTTCAATAATCGTACATAATAAGAAACTCAAAATTAGAACTTAAATTATTTTACAGTAAAAACAAATTTGTAACTTCATTGCTGTAAAAACATTTTGATTGTCTGAAGAAATAAGGTGTTTTGTGTAAATCAAAAATTAATATATCTGACACAATTTAAAACCACAACAACAATACTTTTAAATAGCAAACGCAATTAGAAACGTTTTAAATGGTTCAATCTAAACAATATTACATTCAGTTGAAATTATACGACAACCAAATTTAGAGTTTTAATCACAATTTTATAGGTATCATAATGATAATCTAAAAAACGTTTGGCTGGCAACTTAACATTCAATTAGGTAAAAGGTTCTATGAACTTAATTTGCTAGTACTTTATACCTTAATATTTATAAGAGACCATGCAAAATAAATATATAAAAAATAATGATTACTGTAACATAATAAATTTATCGATTTTTGATAAAGCAAGCCAAATCATAATGGGATGATCGCAATAGCAACAAAAATATGCATGCAACATGCATTAAAAAGCAGTTTAGAGTATCACAAAATTTCATCCACCTACCTAAGTTCCTCAAAATTTTATTACAAACCTGGCTCCAATACCGGCGACTTTGATAGTATTACTAGCGTTAAAATGGAAATTTAAGCGATCTTAATATATTAAGGGTTATAAAAACTAATAAGAACATGTTATTTACCACACAAACACAGGATTAGATTAAATACTTGTACCTACACTCTTACAACTTTACAATTAGTTGAATCGAGCAAGGGAAGTAGAACTTCTTGACTTGAATTTAACCATAGTTTATAACAAATCTGCTTGGGGAAGCTCAAAGTTGTGCTTTAAAGCAGTATGGTATGTCCATCGTTTATTTTGATATTTAGTAAAGTTGGTATTGACAACTAGCCGAAGCGGGCAGTTAGTACCCGGGTGCATACATACCTAAAGAAGGGTTGTTTGGGCAGTGATGGAATAACGCGCTTCCAGCGATCTACGAAACCATGTAATCCACAACACCTTTTTCCTACACTGTGAACATACCTAAATATGATTCCGTCAAGATCGAAAGGATACTCAAGTATGCCGGTAGTCGGCTGACGTGCGCGGAGAATATCCTGTTCGGTCGGCAGATAGTCGTCTTTCTCGATCCTTTCGAGATCGCTTAAATAGCTGGAATATGTATTAAAAGCAACTCAAAGCCCAAGTAACGCATGCAACAAAATACATCCCAGACATGGAAAATAAAACAAAAATGTTGACATTAAAATCCATGACAATAAACTAAATCAAACACTTAAAATGGTATTGTTGAAATGAGTTTATCACCATGGATGATATTAAAAAAATGACACCCAATAGTACCCATAAACAATAACATGCACATCGAAGCGAAGCATTCGCCTTGTAACATGCAGAGGCAGTATTGTTACCTAAATCGAATCTCTTCCAAGTCAAATGGGTACTCAATGATACCCGTAGTGGGTACTCTCACGCGAAGGATGTCTTGTTCGGTAGGTAAGTAATTTGGGCCCGCCACGCGGTCAATCTCCTGCAGGTAGCTATAGAAAATTATCCCTTTTTGTACAACTTATCCACATTTATTGCCAATTGTTTGATTTATTTCTAACAACTATTTATCGTCGGGTTGGAAGGTGACCACGTGTTAAACGGTCATACGCCGTATTAAATTGTCGGTCTGAAGGCGATACTGGGACCGATTCCGGGTCCAATATCACTGACATAGTTTTTATAAATACATTTTTTTAAATAAATTCGACCTTGATTTGTTGACAAATATATATTGCGTATATGGGGTCCTTATTAGTAACTTGTAATTAGGAAGTAAATTATCGTTTAAGTTGTTACAAAAAAAATCTCTGAATTCAAAAGTACAATAAACATAAACTACATTTTAAAATGTATTGGAGTTGTTACTATTTGTATGACTTACTATTTAGCCGAGTCAGTCAGTTGGTACTCCCGCCTGCGGTCGTAGCACTCTTGAATCCCCGAATCGGCCCAAAGGGCCTTTATAGCTTCCACATAAGGGCTCTCAAAGGTCGTCACACTCTCAAAGTCGATTGATGATATCAACTCCGCCTTTTCCTGAAAATCATTAAATCATTATTTAATTGACCATCCGATTGTAGAAAATATATCTATACTAATATTGTAGAGGAAATATTTGTATTTTTGTATGTAATTAAATAACTCAAAAACTACTGGGTCGATTTTAAAATTTTTACACCTAAAAAGGTATGTTATCAATGAGTAATAGGTTACTTTTTTTTATTTTTTATTTTGACGCAGACAAAGCCATGAGCAACAGCATTTCAATAAAGTTCAACTAATATTATTTGCATTAGCACACAAAATATTACTTAAAATAAAGCATTGTGGCGAAACAGACGGCATATGATTTATTTCCTGTGTCGATAACAATGAGGAAGTATTAGATGTATTTTTGTTGTACCTAAAATTATTTATAATACAGATTTATTACTCAATTAATAATGCGGATAAATCTAATGGTCTGATTAAAATATAAAGAAAACTTCTTTAGATGACTCTAATTCTAAGGACCATAAGTCATATTTTATCATTGTGCTGTGCTCCATACTGATTGTACTTAATTTCACGGAGTTATTGTGCGTTAATAGCAAGATTCAGCAAGTAAAAATATATAGAAGAATCACTTCCCGTTGAAACTAAGCTTGAATCTCTAACTATTTAGAATGGTACGTTACTTACTTCATTGGACGGATTTCCGTATTGTATTTTGAGTAGGTCCATAGCGCGTATCATGCTCTGCATCGCCATGAAGATGTTCTGGTAGACGAGCTTGATGAAACCGCGCTTATCGTCGTCGCTATAGCCGGAGCCGTGGATAATTCTCATCTGCTTGATGAATGTTGACTTGCCCGACTCGCCAGTACCTGTTAATTATCACCAAGTAAGTTAAAACCTTATCAACTTAAAATAAAATCCTCTTTCAAAACTAAACTGATAGTGTAGTTTACCACTATTTCCTTTAAACAGGTCTAATGCGTATTTTGTTTGCAATGTTAAAAAACACAAACGTAAATTGAATCTTGCCATATTGCTACTATAAGTGAGGTTTAATAACTTTAATTGTAACTAAATAACTTAATATAGAGCCTATCACTTTCTGTAATTATTTAGAAATACATTTTGCTTCATGGTGCAAATATACACTATAAGTTTTAAATATAATAAAATAAAAAAAAATCAACTTAAACCAAAACTGTGCAGCATAATTTAAAAATTGTCTAAGGTTGGAGAAAATCGTCATTCCAGATTTATCATCAGCTTGCCCTTGTCTCTACAGAGGGTCGTCACAATATGTCCTACTTCCATACATTTCTATAAGTCATCATATCTGAATCCTTATTAAGCATATCCTCTTTCACAAAATTCATCCATACTTTCTTCATTCTTCAATATATCTTCGGTCATGGTCATTCCAGATAATATAATAAATAATTATGAACATAAAACAACACTTTTTAAAAGAATGTAAACTCAGCAGAGAACCTAATTGCCCTTAACTGTGACCTAGGCTGGGGGAAGCCGTTAGTTGGCTTATGACTCGGCTACCACTAATAGGATTGGCATCAAACTAACTCATTGCTAGTAAATAAACCTTGACAATGACAATATGCATATATGTACTTATGTAGAGGACACTTTTCTTTTAAACTTAACAAAAAATATATTATAAAATTAAGCAACTGATAATGATGTTGGAGGTAATTGTCTAGTTTAGTTTTTTTAGTTTTCAACCATTTCGCTTTAATGTTAACATTTTACTCAATTATTTCAGTGTATAAGTAATATGATTATTATTTTTCTATTATTCAATGTGAACAAATGTATTTGGAATGGCACAATATGATAAGAGGGATCTTATTGCATTTATCAAGAGATATGTCCAGCTGTTTAGCAGATATCTTCTAACAAGTCCATCAATGCATTCATCCATCTAAACTTTTGCATTTATAATATTAGTAAGATTAACAAAATTTTCTAATATTGAAAATGTAAGCACAATAAATATAAATATGTAAATTAAAATGTAATATTTGGAGAATAAAGCTTTAAAGAAACATTATCATTTCATTCAATTTTTATGTTATAAGTTTACACTAACAATTTAAACATAACCAACATCTGTTACACAGTGGGATAGGCAGAGACCATGGGCTTCCATTTCTGATTCACCTCTCGCTTCACATTGTCTAGTCTAAATATGTTTTATCTCACTCTCTCTTGTGTAAGAGGAATATTCTGGTCCCTCCATACTGATACTATCTATAGCTACATTCTGACTAATTGTTATAACATTTCATTGTGAAAATTGAATTGACATTTCTATTGTGATATCTTACACTTAAACTAATTCACTTAACAATAAATTCAAATGTTTACTTAAATCAAGGAAACTTAACAAAACTATTGCATAAAATTGTTTAAGAGGAAAATGACTTCATTGGAATTCTAATACTAAAGTCAAGATGTATTCAGCCTAACTTTACAAAGTGAAATAAAACTTAAGCTATTGGAAGAAGCTTGTTTCTCTAATTGTGACAAAAAAAAGTATCTTATTACTACATCAAAACTATTATCAAAAACCAGATTGAGTGTATTTAAAATTCATAGAGCTTGACATTACAAAAACATATTTCATAACTCTTGAGAATTTAGATCACATCATACATCATATCAGCTCTCTATATGAGACTTTAGATGGATCAATGTAATTGGATGGATGTTTGTTAGTAAATATGTCCAGCAGGACTTAATGGTCTTTATAAAATTTGACATAGATGTAGAACATAGTTGCAGACAAAAGCTGGGATTAGACATATATTTTAATTACTTACAAGGCTATCTTTAAATAAAAATACAATTTTAATACTAATTATCAAACTTGTATTAAAATAGTATTTTCTAACTTACTCTATTTTTGCTATCTAGATCTAAACAGACCCGGTTGTCTATCCTAAACATAAAACAGTAAATAATTACATTGGAACAAGCACTTTAAATAGACACTAACATGACTACAGACAAAGAAATAGTCAAGTTTATTGCCTCCTTACTGATCTATTTCTGTAACTGCATATAATAGGTTATTTTTATCATGATTGAAAATGTTCATGTGAGTAGAATTACAATTAGGTTTTTTTATCAGCTACATGCATTAAGATATAAAACAGCCATCAGTGTTGTGATTTTTTTATATATGATGGTGACTCAAAACATTGGAGTCTGTGCAGGACAGCATTTAGGTGTAGTGGGGCATAGAGATGCGAGGGGAAGAAGTTTTAGCGCCTATAACATTGAACTGCCAATATATTTGAAATCACTTATACTCTAATTGGTATATTTTAATAAGATGAGCCACATCACACACATAACTTGCCCTTGTCCCTATGGAGGGTCGGAACAGTATATGCTGCTCTTCCATACATCTCTATGTGTAAATTCACTCACTTCTTAAGCATACTCTCATTCACACAATCCATCCATTCAATCTTAATAGATTGCCCACTAAAACATAATATATGAACTTCATTTTACTTATATAAAAAAAATGTAATATGTGTCATTTTAATTTTTCTGCTACAACTGTATTTACTTAATGAATCTACAACTATTTAAAGTCTAAATTAGTTCTTCTAATTAGATTAATTTTTATACTTGTTCATTATAAAAGATATTATTTCATAAGAACCATCAAATTATAGGAATAACTTCCAAATAAAAAAACTGTTGTTAATACTCATGCAATATACATATGAGAAACAACTTTATACAAATCTTGTGTATTTTTGTATTTCATATCATTTTTTTGATAATTAATTTTATTTTATTGCTCAAAAAAGCAAAAAAGCATGCAATATGACAATAAAACTATCCAAGAAGAAAAATAATTCACAATATTGGGACATCAAAACACATTGTAAGAGAATATTCTAGACCAAATTTAAGAAAGTGTTTTATAAGAACAGAACCATACATTAATATAAGCATATAGGTTAATAAGTTATAACATAATTATGAATCATAGTTTCCATTTAGACATATAGCAACTTAGACTTGGAATCATATAGTCTCAATTATAAACAGTATTGTTTGAATGTTCACAATCAATCAAAACATGAAATCATTTTGTCTATTTATAGACTTAATATAATTTAACATTTGAAAGTAGACTTAAAAAGAAATATAATTTTTAAATAAGTTATTACTTGATTGTGTACTTATTTAACAAAAAGTGCTTTTTAGGTTAAGTAAAACTTACCCAGCAGCAGCAGTTTGAGTTCTCTTCTGGCATCGCGTTTGTCCTTTCGGAGTTGCCGCTCTATCTCCTGGTTGATTCTTTTCTGTTCTTTGGCTTCTTCCGAAATACAGCAGTCCATGGTTCCTCAGAGCGGAGGGCCGCGGACCGTCCTCGCGCGCGGAGCCCTGTCCTTTCGGCAGGCCTTTCAACCGAGGCACAGCACTCCTAAAAATGATATATTTATTACACTCACTAAATCACAGGTCTCACAATCCCCCGGTCGTATTCACAATCGCTCACAATATCACATACCGACACGAAGACGCGCGTACAATCATCCGAACTAGAAGCTAATACTAAAACCGACAATCCGGTCACTGGGTGTGGTGACTTATGATCGCTCATATACATATACGCTTCTGTCAACTGCCGACATAAACATTTCGAAATCCGTTTATATACGAGCGGGGAACCTTGTGAAGCGATCGTATAATCTTATTAATGTAACTAGATTCAAGAAACCTATGGCTACTCCCCGCACGTGTGTAATAATATGATTAAAACTGTGAGCAAACAGCGGATTGACGATACCTAGGTAATCTACTGATAACTAGAACGGCCTATGTCTAGGTTACAATTTTACTTCCCATGCCACAGTAGTAAAGAAAACACACAAGTGATACACATTTTTATACACATTACGTACCCAAATATATATCCATAGGGCACGATCAAGTATTCCACTTCAATTTATTGCACTAACCACGATTTAATCACTCAAGTCATACAACGTCCGCCTCTCTCAATATGGCGCTGGGCGATTTTGGGCGATGGGGAGTTCTGCGCGTGCGTCGTACGAGTATTAGCGAATTAAAAGTTGTGTATGGAAATCGGATCAAAATATGTGAAATTTAAGTAAATAAATTATAGTACATAAGCTAATTACATAAATAAAATATCGTTAATCAAATATAAAAATTAGAATTTTAATTTCCATTTCATGATCATCAAATTAATAATAATTTGACAGCAAAACTGTCAATCTGTCAGTGGAGTGGAAGTAAATGTCATTCAGGTTCAATCGAATATTGTAGTTGAAAAATAAATCGATTATTTTATTAACTTTATATAATTTTACGCAAATTGACAAAAATGAGGGTTTTTAAGTTTTGAACAAAATTGGAATTCCTAGGTAGTTATGATGTTTCCCTTATGTTTCTTTTATGTTCTGTTGGGGCATAGACAATTCGATTTTTTAATGGGTTTTCACTGCGATGTGAAACACCTATTACAGTAAAAGGTATCGTTTTAAAACTATAAAACTAATATTATTATTACGCATATCAACAATTCAAAAACAGTATTGTTTGATATATTTATTTATTAACACGTTGAAAACACTGCACAGAGGAAAAAAAAATGTCGATTGTAATTTCTTCTTTATTTTATACTAGATGTTTCAGACGGTAATTGATGTATTGAAAAACTAGGAAGGAAGCCTTACAGTACTTGCGTAACATCAAACACAACACAATGTCATCGTGTAGTCGCCCCAGACACAGGGATTAACCTTCAAAGGTAACTCATCCTATACCAGGTCACACATGGTTTAACTGTTGTCAAGTCTAGGTGATCTGTAAAATCTGTATTAATTCCTACTTAATTAATACCTAATGTTATGAAAATGTAACTTATTTCTTTTATAAGAAAATAAAACATTCAATTGCACACATTTTTAATCTTCGGGTAGTTGCAGTCTTTTATACAGTAGATCAGTGTTCCTTGTCGAATTTATTGGTTGCTTCTCAAAGATTGAAGAGTTTTGTCTGAGCTGTTCACAGAACTTGCTTTCTCCCCCTGGGTCCTGGGACCTTTTGTGGGCAATGTTTCTATTGAACAATACATTTTAATTCGTAGGCTTCACTATCGTCGGTTGTTTTCTATAATTATCTTTACGAAATATGGGAAATGAAAAAAAAAAACATATATTATTACATGCTTTATATCGAGAAAATCTCACCCTCCACGAGGTCTAGGCCAGGTTCTAATCGTATTAACTATGTAGAAGGCTTTTCCATTCGCCTTGTGAGGATTTCAAGAGCAAAAGATTTATTTAATCGATAACACCGATAATTCTTCTAACTTCCTTGTTTTAATTAATCTTTAATGGACATCTTCATTTTTGTTTGGTAATTTAATGAAAATGGCAGAGATGCTCAATTGTTTATGTTTTTGGCTATGGATATGATTTGAAGGTCGTAGTATTTTTTTTAATGTGTTAAAATAAAGTAAATCACCATCTACATTTCAAATAATTTTATTTAAGTAATTAAATGTGTTAATAGGATTATTAGTTGAAAACAGTGATAATTAGATTTGGTAGATTTTCTGTCGGATCGGATGTCATTTAAACTAACGTAAATACGTTACGCCAGTAAGTACTGGTATTTACTATTAGGTATAGTATTTTATTTACTATGGTGTAACATTACTTAGTTAATGCAATTTTATTTTTACTCTTAGCAAAAGGAATAGTGAAAGACGAGGAGAGGCTTAATTCAGATCAGGTAGTTTTTAATATACTCACATACATCAGTAAAAATATAAATTATTCTTCATATTTATTTACTTAATTTATTATAATCTGTGATATACATTCAATGTTTTTTTTATTTATTTTCTTATGTGCTACGCATTACTAATATTTACATTACAATTAATATCCTTTTCACCCAGTACTGAGTTTTTATACTTCTGAACTGTTTCTAATGATGTGTTGGGTGGTACCCAGCCACCGAAGGCTTTTTCAAATTCTTTGGCAACAGCTACAGTTAAATAATCGTTATATCTGCCGGCGACTATTTGCATCCCAACTGGCAACCCTTTGTCTGTGAATCCTAGAGGACACGCCGTTACTGGCAACCCTAACGCGTTGAAAATCGTTAGATATCCACAATTTAAAAACTTGTAAAATATTTTATAGTGTACATGAGCTGGACTGGGAAACGTTGGGAAGAACAGCACAGCGTTCTCCGATAAAGCTTTCTGAAAACAAAATAACAATTAAATAATGCCATGAGTTATATTTAAAGAGCTTCGTCAGCGGATTCTACCTTATTATAAGAAATGTTTTAAATTACAATTTATTAGGGGATCAAATCTATAAAATGTTCAGTATTTTGGATATAATTAAGGTTTAAATTTTGCTGGTACTTTTAAACAATGGATATAATTGTAACTAGCGATATTAATTTTAACACTGCACTAGAGATCTCGTCAGGAATGCGCGCGAATATCCATCCTTGTAATGACATTGACAGCTGTCAGCTAGGGACGTGACGTTTATGCCGACAATCTAGTGTTGCATCAATTCTAGAACACGGTACTAATTTCATTCTTAACAGAACATCGTACTTACTTGAAAATCAGTCTTAATCTCTTCGAACATCTCAACAAGTTTCTTATAATACCCTGATGGTAAAGCGTCAAAGAATTTCTTAACAGGACCGTAAGCTACACATGTGAAGTTGTGTCGCGAGACGCCGAGCAGCTTCCTCAGCACCTCGGGCCACGTCGACACCCACAGCTCCCGCTTCTCTGGATCCGTGTAAATGTTTCTAATATGCTCTATCTTGAATAAGACTCTTACACTGATTTCCCACATGTGTTCGATGTTTTTAATATTTAGCTGTAAATAAAAAAACATGAGAAAATATCTATACTAATATAATAAAGCGTAAACACACTACTATGTGGCGTATGTAAGCAATCACAGCATATTTTTGAATAATTATTTCTTTAATAAAAAGCGCTACACCTACGACACGTTTTAGGCTATATATTTTCACGCTATTAAAATTAAGGGATAAATAAATTGGAAAAAAAACTTTAATGTCGGAAAGGGACCATAAACTACAAGCTGCCAACATTAAGGAAGCAAGGTTGTCATGTCATTTTGACATTTGCAGTTGATAATTTGACATATTTAAATAATAAAATAAAATTTTCATAATTTCATGCGGATGAAGCAGCACGGGAGCAGCTAGTCACGAATATTTGTGAGAAGAGTCTTAGTGGCGTTTTAAACAATTATTGTATTGGATCTGTACTAACGGGCGTAAAGTACACCAACATTCTCATACTTTTTCGATTATGTTAAGAATAAGAATACGTTCTCGTTATGTCACGCAAATGTTCATGATAAGTCCGCAGACGATGGGTGAATTTCAAAACAAAATAAATGCTAGTCAAAACAAAACAATTGATTTCAAATAATTTGCTACTTATTATTTCACTATTTTTTTTATAACATAAGCTGGCGAATGAGCAAGCGGCCATCTAAATCCACCGAAATGGAAAGCGACCGCTGCCCACAATGCGTTGCCTACCCTTCATTGACGGAGGAGGAGATGTACATAAAGAGGATATTTCCCCTTCCTTTGCGTTTCCACCATCAGATCCTTTTCCTTCCTATCCTTACCTCTTAATAAAAGGGTGAAAAGGGAAAGGGACTAAAATTAGGCCTCTTATTATTATTATTTATGTACCTGTTCAACTTCCACATTGTAAGTATGTTGTATGTAACCTCTTGCTTTATCCATAGCTTTTTTAACATCTGGTCCAATTTTGTCTGTGACGTCACTTCCTTCGCCATTCATGTAGTAGAATTTAATTTTTCGAAAATCTATCTGAAATGTTACATTTTTTGAACATTAAAAATTAAAAAAATGGATAGTGGTAGAAGTGATAGAATTGTAAATACAACTTACAGGTTTATCAAATGGTATTTCTGGGGATCCGGGTTGCTTTAAAACATTTAAGAGTAACGGCAAATCTTCGGCATATCGTGTTAAAGGTCCTACTGCAAAATATTCTTCGAACTGTGGATCCAAACAGTCTGGTATGTGTCCTAGAAGTCACAAATAAAAAAAACAAGTATATACTGAGTTCAAATTGGCTTTTCAAGTATATCACAAACAGGTTGCTAATCGTTTTGGATTGGATATTTTAAGAAGATTTAAAAGAAATAAACGCATTGGTTCATAGTCATATTAATACTAACTAATGTTATAAATGCGAAAGTTTAGATGGGTTTGTTAGAGTTTGTAGGCTAAACGGCTAAACGGATTACGATGAAATTTGGTATAGATGTAGAGGATAGTCTAAAAGAACATATAGGCTACTCACTTTTGTCTTTTTTAGCTAGTTTTTAGTTAATAGATAGTTATGCAATTTTATATGAATTTCCCTCTCTCTCTCTCTCTCTCTCTCTCTCACACACACTTGTAGAAGCATGCCGTCTTACCTTCAACTGATAACAATTTCGGTGTTGGCTTGTGACCAAATATTCCAGTAAACATAGGTGGAAGTCGCAAGGAGCCAGCGATGTCGGAACCCACGCCAATAATGGAGGCAGCCGCGGAAATTAATGCTGCCTGAAAAATATAAATAAGATTTCTTATAGATGTGTACTTCTCATAAAAAACTATGATTATAAAAAAAAATATAGACTAGACATAGGGAACAAAATTTTTTCACCGGTAACTCCTTTGTACGGTAATATCAAAATCTCAGGTGCCAAATTTGACATACCGAGACGATTCGCAGTGTTTAAATTATTTGTTTACTGGCTTTGGCCCGCGACTCCGTTCATGTGGAGTTAAAAAAACCAAAAGTGAGTTTTCTATGTGTTCATCCAGTCTATCATCTACGTTTATGTCAAATTTCATCGAGATCCTTTCAGCAGTTTAGGCTACAAACTCGAAGAAACATCCATTCATCCATCTAAACATTCGCATTTATAATATTAGTAAGAAGTAAGATAAGATTAGGTAGTGCTTGTGAGATTACGTGAAGAATGTTTCAGACATTTTTTTGAATATCTTAGTCTATTCCATCAAAATAACTTACTTCGCCACCAGAAGATCCGCCGGCGGTATGTTTCAAGTTGTACGGATTTAAGGTGAGACCGGTGACGTTGTTATACGTCTCCCAGTTCATGCAGAGTTGTGGTGTGTTGGTCACTGCGATCGGTATAGCTCCGGCGGCTCTCGCCAGTCTAACGATTTCCGCGTCCTTCTTCGCCGGATTCCTGACGTCACAATCTGTACCCGAGTCATTACACATACCTGGAAAGTTAGTATCAAAGATGTACTAAATCACTTTGAGAATAGGATGGACACATGCTGGCTTAGAGGCAGTTAATAATTTGTTGCGAATTATTTTAAAAATTCATTTTTTAAACTGTACCGACTGTAATTTTACATGTAGTTTTGATATCTAACTATGTCATTCTAATTGCTTTAGTAAAAATGACTTGACATTTTTATATATAAAATATGATAGACGTGATATTAAATTTATACATTTATACATTTTACAAACTGCAGTTTTTATACCAATGCAGTTATATAAACGCATTGTATACCTAACTATAATAAGCAGAGGTACAAATAATTGTAAATACTAAATCTAACACTGACATTGCACTGGACTGTTTGAAACATCGCGTAATTCCATTTTATTATTCGTTAGGTTAAACAGGTTATCACCGCTTGCAATTATAAATAATCATTAGCATTGTAAATAACATTAAATTATGTTATAATTCACAATAAACTGCAAATTATATCTTTACGACAAACTGTAAAATTTAATATAAGTAGACCAGATGGTTAATTAAGCTTGTTATTTATTTTAATTGTATCATGGACAATATCATTTAATTATTAATAGTTATGTATTAAACTATAAATTCTCTTTGTTCCAGTAATTTTATACGTAGTATTAGAATAGAAATTAAATCATCGACGTTTGACCTCACACACCTCGTGTTATGTACAAGTACAAACAACTTTATAAAAACAAAACCTAATAATTCTAGTGTCTGTCATTATTAGAATTAACTAGTATTACTAATAAATATTGGAAAGGATTTTTTTATAGAAGATGTCAAACGCAGAGGATCGACTAATGTTATTTGATCCGACGCCCATGGACATCTTCAACGCCAAAGGAAGCACAGATGAGTTGCCGGCCTTTGAATCTCTCAAAGTACGCTCGTTTAAGAAAATGTAAGTACGAAATGTAATTTACCTTCAACCGCTATACTTTCTTTGACCGTCATAGGCAAACCTAGAAGTGGGTACGTCTCTGCTAGCATGTCCGTAGAGCCAGTGTAAGCTTCTAACATCTTGTCTATAAGCCTGGCGTCTCTTAGCGCCAATTCGTAGCGAGGCTCGACGATTGCGTTCAAGTAATGATTTACTTCCCTACATCGCTCAATGTACGCAGATACCACTTGCTCGGATTTTATCTGAAAACAATGATTATAAAAATTTGTGAAGTGCTATTGATGCTAAAGTTTATTTTTATATGGAGCGAGGTTGAAAAAAAAATAACACTTATTCACAATAAACATTAGACTAACTACTTACTCTTGTTTTTTTTTCAATTCCACGCGAACAGAGTCGCGAGCAATAGCCAATTAATGTATATGTGTTTTACTTTTTTCAACATAAAAAATAATGGACCTTATTTATTTTAAAACTTAACAATTACAATATTAATCAATAATACCTGTTTGTTTCTTATCATCTTGGTGAGAGAGGTAGCTGATTTGAAAAGCAAAGGATTCGTAGGTGGTGGACAAGTTCCATTTCTTCGTTTGTTTACAATCCATGTAATTGGTATGACTATTATAGCAAGCAATGAAACCAGAAACCGCAGAAAACGTCGCAAGAACCAGGGCATCATGACTGTCTGTAACGAAAACAAATCAATATATTACGAGTACTAGCTAAGTTAGAGGACGTTATTAAATACTAATATTATAAATGTGAAAGTTTAGATGGATGGATAGATGTTTGTTAGAGTTTGTAGTCTAAACGGATGAACGGATTTCGATGAAAGTTGGTATAGATGTAGAGGATAGTCTGAAAGAACTCATAGGTTCACTTTAGTTTTTTAAATTCACTAGTACGGACTTATGGGCGACAGCTAGTACTGCATTTTTTCAGTCTAACCAAGAATATATAAATTCTTATTTGGAGTGCTTCAATCTGATTTTAACATGTATCACTCTCTATTCGGCTAAAATATAAATTAGATCCATGTTTATGATGGTTTTTATATTTCTATCAGACTTTAAAGTACTTTTATCAATACACTGATTGTATCTCTTGTTACTCTTTAACTAACAAATTTGTTTTTTATTTGAATTTTAATGAAACTTTGATGTTATTTAGCAGGAAAATAAATAATTAAACGACGGAAAAGATCTAGAATAACCTTCACTGTTTAGTTCGCTGTTTTTGAATACATGAATCTATTTTTAAAATCTTCATAGTCAATTAATGTTTGGAATTTAGATCTAAAAATAAAGCAAAACACCAATTCGTTTTAGCTTAACCTTTTGCATACCGGTTTTTAAATTAAAGTTAGTTATTATTTTGATATATCATATTTTATACGTTTAAATCTGTAATTTATTCCCGTGTTAGTAATTTAATCCTTTTTTATTTTTAAATAAATTGATTGCTTGATTAATTGCTTTTATAATACTTTCGGAAGACTAGCTAGACCAACTCAGAGCTATTTTAATCTTACAAGATTAGTAGCTGTGTAGATTTTAATAGATGACCTCTACATTATACCAATTCTCAAACCATACCGTAGTTCATCAAATAATGGATATAAGCAAAGCAAACTAACCTCGGCAAGGCTACATCGGTTGCCTAATTTTGCGAATAGCAAGTGCTTTGACCTCAAAATGCATAGACTGTTACCAATCGATCCTAGGGTCTAGTGGTTAGAAGTTCGAATCTTACTAAGTAGTTTTTTAAAATAAGAAATTAGTAAAATAAAAAACTAAAAATTAAGACTAAATCTCTGTTAATATTAAAGTTCCAAAGTACTAATGTAACTTGTTTTAAATAGCAGAAATGAAATGATATTACAATAAATAAATCTAGAAAATATGTAAATAAGTTTAATAAAAATTTCTGAAAATTGAAATTACGTGACTGTCGTAGATTTTTTTATTTCCTGTATTCCTTTTATAGGCGTTAACTTAAAAAACAACGGAAGTAAATTAAAAAAAAGTAATGACGAATTGTCACAAAATAATGAAAATCTGTAATCTATCTATCTGTAAGCAAAAAAGGCCAGTCGTGTGAGGCATTGTGTTTTTTCATTTTATGCGAAAGTTAAAAAAAATGATTTATGTTAGTTTTTGCAACATACTCTACTGAATGCGACAAAAAATATAACTTTAAAATTCTTAAAGAAAAAATTATGTAAACTTTAAGCAATTAATCTATATTAGCATTGTAAGCAATTACGTATGGGTAATGAGTTAATGGCCTCTTAACAAGGAAGGAATGTATTTCACATATTTGTTCGAAACCGGAATAAATTAAAAAAATCTTGTTACTATAGAATCAGAGACCATAATGTATTTAACTAGCGGCCTCTCCTGGCTTCGCACGGGTGGACAATTTTTTAAACATTGGATGGTATAAATATAGGTCCACTATATTTTTGGTATACATTTGTCATACTGTCGTCTTTATTTCGAAAGTGATTTTAATCGGTTTGTTTATAAAAAGGCTACTGCCCTATTGGAAATGATAGGCACACATCCGTTTACTTTTGTTATCTAAAATATGTTAGACTCATGATTTCAAACTGTTATTGCAGCATAAATGTGATTTTATTATTATGTGTTTTAATACCGTTTGCGGTTGGTTCATTGCAACTAATATTTTTTTTTATGTACGTTACGTAAATGTTAGTGATCCCATCTATACTAATATTATAAAGAGGAAAGATTTGTAATTTTTTATGTATTGGAATAACTCAAAAACTACAGGGCCGATTTCAAAAATTCGTTCACCATTAGATAGGCAAGTTTATTCGAAAAATTTTATAAAAAAGAGATTAATACATTGTTAATGTTGATATTAGTGTACAAAACAAACTGTAAAAATTAAACCGCAGTTTTCATATTTAATCCACAATTGAGTCGTAGGGGATAGTGGTGTATAATATTGTTAGAAGTTCTGTCATGTTCGAACGCTACATATATTGAGTATAGAGGTCACGAAATATGTTTGAGGCTGTCCCAAAATAAAATCACAACGGACTCGTTGGTTAGAAGTAAAAGTATTTTCCAGAGATTCCATCTCATCTGTGTGTAAAGTTAAGCTCAAATAGTCTTAGTGAAATTGACGCTAGCTATCATTACTATGATATCCAAAAGCATGTTTTCCTTCTAAATTATAGTTAGTCTAAAAACTAATGTTATGAATATAGGAAATCCAAATTAGTTATCTGCGTATGTTACGACATTGTAGATAATCGAAACAAAACAGCATTGACTTACATATTTATCTATTTTAGAGTTCCTTGTTTTTAATTAAATTAAAAGAAGCTTCGAATGTTTATTATTTCCCGATATATATTTGTCCAGTTTATCATTTACATCACAAAGACTGGCATTTCTTGATTTTTGTATTATTTCCATTAATTCTACGTGAATCAATGAATCTACAATAACAGTTTCGTATATAATGAATGATAATTAATTCTTTTAGTTACCAATAATGTAGTCGATGGGCACACCTGTCGGATTGGCCTACATTAGTACTGGTGTGCTTTGATTCCGCTTCATTTTCTTTTTTTCACTTTAAAACCACATTGCAGTTTAAAAAACGCGCGAAATGCGTTATGAATATTTTCGATTATTTGAACTACAATTGAGGAGTATTTAGAGAGTATAAATATAAAAGTAAACTTAGGAAATTGTAATCACTATTATTATGTTTTCGTATTCCTGAAGGATATTAGAAAAATTCTTAATTTGATACATGCAATTACTAATGATTTGAGCGTGATAAAATACATTAGTTTTACAGATAATTTATGTCGATTAACAATGAAGTATTACCAAACGTAATTAAAAATGTTTAAATACCTTCCTCGCAACAGTCGCAAAGTAAACATTAACAATATTATACAACAGACGTTGTAATTCAACATTTGCTTTCGACAACCATGGCGGATACCATAAGTTCGAATTGTTCAACAACACTTCGGCGATAACAAACCCATTATACACACTTGCACTTAATAATATCAAAAATACTCGTGTCACAATATTCGTTGTTTTATTAAAAAATGCTAAACACACACTCCCGATTGTAACTCCCATGATTTACGTTACAATTTGTAGTAAACACGATAAGTAACTAGTCATAGGGTCAAAGCGTCTGAGGCGACTGCTACAAAACATACAGTGATACAGACAAAGGCAAGTGATATTTATTATCGAATATGACGTATTCAATATGAAGCAGAGACAGAGTACCCGCTACTGTGGACATTGTATTTATATGATACGAACTGTCAAATTATAAGCAGCACTTAAGGTTGACAATCGCTTAAAATGTATTACATTTGTAATTAATATTCGTTATTGTAACGAAAGTGGTAGCAGGTGCTTATATGTAAAACAAATGGCGAATATACATAAACTATTAAATTTACGTCACGTACGTCTAATAAAAATTCTTTATTAACTATTAAAATTATTTTAATAACATTTTAATAAATCGTTGCATTTTATTTTAACATCAAGTATTTATAATTAATATCCTTCTCACTTTATTGGCATTGTATATCAACTATAAACCTAACTAGTTTCAATTAAACACAATGCACGTATGTTAAACTTAGTTGCACGTGATAAAACTTTAAAGAAGAGATAAAAGGAAGGTAAATTAATATAATGGTAAGGCCAAGAATAAACAACATATTTACATAGTTAACATCTATTATCCTGACTTGAATTAAGTAAAACAAAACTTTCAGCTGTTACAAGCATCGTGGGTGAGTTATTTTACAATGGCCTTTTCATTCCAGCAGGGGTTAAAAGGCTTATGTGAGACTTCGCAGACCAGTGGTGATCTGTACTGTCCAGCACACTGGTTGGTCGTCTAACCGCTCCTGATTTTAACGTCCGTATTATCCTCAGGATTATTATATTAAATGTATAACACGAGTATTCGTTATTCACTAAAGATTTAATCGAAATGATTTTTTGGTAATAATTACTATTTTAATTCCAAGCTTCTCTGCCGGGAACCAAATAAGGTATTACCTTTTTAATTTCTCGCAACCAGGAAAATAGAAGAATACCTTTACTAGGAAGATAAATTAATTTACACATTTTAAAAGATTTTAGCTTAAATAATAAAACACTGTTAGTTTTATTCCAAGATCTATTGGCAAATTTATAAAATCTAAAATAGATTCTACTTAATTTTATCTCCTTGCTTGTACCGTATTCATTTGTTGACAATTTGAGATAACATTTATAACGTTAATGCAAAAATTACATTGAAAATGAGCATATAATCTCATAACGTAAATTACATTTTGATAATGATTTCTAAAAATTTTCGCTAAGTTATCAATGATGAATATGGGGTTACGTAATGTTTTATAGTAAAATCCTTAAGTATGTACACAGATTGATTTTCTATTACAAAGTTAAAAAAGTCTGTCACGAAATGCAATATCTAACTACTTATGCCATGTCTAAATTGTATTATCTTCGAATTTTTTTTAGTTTTACGTCACACTAAAACCTATCGATTTTTTTTAATTTATCCACTAATTGATATACCGTGACACAAACTTTACAATTTATCCATTTCTGTAAATATAGTATCTACGGTATAAACATTGCTAAACGAAAACGTTACATTTCTCAAGTCCGACCTAAACCTAAGTTCGTACTTGCAGTTACGCAGTATTTGAACGGAATGAGGTTGTTGCACAAATTCCTTTTACAGGGCTGTCAATTCTAATGACTGGATTATCCACTTCACTGTCAACAGAAAGCAATTATCTTGGATGATTTAGATGTTATAGCAACCTTGTTCTTTAATTGTTATTGTATTTGTTGGCAACACATCACTTATGTTACAAAGTTATTTAATTCTATGGGTTAAATTTAGTATAAGTTACAAGTAATCTGTAGAACTAGCGCATCGTAAATGACACATTAATGTTTACTAGGGTCGGTCCAAAACCGACTCAATCAAAGAAAGCTAACACAATACTTACACGACATACGACTACAATAAGGAATATTGGACAACCATGGTATACAAGTCCTGTTAGTTGCACCACTGCCGGCGTTTTACTTCCACTCGCTGGAACGTTGCATCGTTGCAATGAAATAAAGCGGTTACTCTAGTAGACCTTTTCGTAATCAAAACATGCGAGTACTAGAAAATACGATCAATGTGATAATTTAATCCCAGCTTATGGGAGACAAGTACAACATTGATCCATACATAATTACATCTGTAATTAAAATAACTTAATTACAGATATTTTTACCATCATGATTCTTTCAAGTATAATGTTTGTATTCGGTTGTAGGGCATGTTTATGTTAGGTCCCTACTTAGTTCGAGTTGAGAGGGCGCGCAAGTTTTCCCGCGCGCAAGAGGCTGAGCTGTTGAGAAGGCCCACAACCAGTCACCACCGGGTTGTGTGATGAATATTAACTGTGCCCATGCTCCGGTGAACAGTGAAGACGAGGAAACCAGAGGAGGATTACTGGGTAGGCTCCACGTCCTTTTCATTAGGAAGGGATGAGGAGAGAGTCCAACAAACCCAGTGTGTCTTTCCCCAAGACAACTGGAATGCGTAACGAATTCTCCCTCTTAAAAAAAGGGCAAGCTTATGCTTCCTTATTAGTTTATCGTTGTTCGCTATACACATAAAATAACTTGTGATATTTAACATAAGCATATAAAATACACGGATAAACATTTATGTACAAATACAGTGTCATATTCTTATTTGTTTTATTTTACTCGTATTACACAAGTTAGTAGTAAGTTTACAATTTAATATAAGTATTTTCTCAATTATTTACATGCTATGTAAATACAATTGATATTTTGTTGCGAAATGTACGCAGATGTAACATATAACAATCCGCTACAAATTACACTAGAATTTAGCTTGTTATTTCTTTTAGGATGTTCTAATTGTAGGTATATCTACCTGTTTGCTCGTCTCTTATATTGTTTTCCTATATCATCCTCATTATAAGTTTCCATACCGTAGATTTAATTTTTCAAACAAAATATGAAGGAATATTTTATAGAAACATTAGGCATTGCTTCTTATTATTTTCTCTAAAAGCAGTAGTTATCATCAGAGCTATCAAAATTACTTAATATTTTTATCAACATTTGATCTAGTAATTTATCAATGTGTGATATCGCGACAATACGTGATTTAAAACGAATGGCGGGTTTATGTAAATTAAGACGTGAGATACGCATGACTATCGAAATGGTTGTGAACTTTTCTAGATATAAACGTTACTATTGTGATAAAATGCAATTATTAGATTTTTAATTATTAATGCCATAGCTCTGTATTACACTATTCCCCTTAAAGTATCTCACTAAATTAATCCATAACATTTTATTTTATGATACAGAATTTCGATGACTTGACGACGTAGATAAGTAAACATTATTTAGAAACAGGAGCATTGCATTGCATTAGTTCATAATTTCTTACAACCGTGTGTGAAATAAATAATTATATCACTGTAAGTACTCTTTATTTAGCTACTTATCATTCAAAAACAATGGAGAAAGATCAACGTTTTCTTCGCAAGTTCATAAATAATTCATCATTCATAATACCATTATTAGGCGCGCATTAAAAGACAGGTAATCTTACAACTCGTGTTAAATTAAAGAGAAACCAGTACGGCAACTGTGTCGAGGTACGAAGTACTTACGCTATGTACACTTTCTATTGCATACGTCGTTTACTTGCAGCAAAGGTGGCATCAAAACGTTGAACGAAACAAATATCGTATGCGTAGTACTGTTACGAAAAATCGTATCTGAATTCGTTTATATTAAGTTGAGGATCATCTATCAACGATTCAGCGACTAAGGTCTGGTAGCCTTGGAATGAGAAATTATTTACGAAACTTCCTCTTTTTATTCAGCCGAGATTAACTCTATCGTTACAAACAATGGAAATGGTTTAATTTAAGTGACAATAGTAAAAAAATTACCCTCAGTATGATTGAAAGTATTGAATATTTTATCTATATTTAAATAATTCGTTATAATTATTGCATCTTCTATATAGAGTAGGTCACTGAGCTGCACTCTAAGAAATCGATAGTAATTGTTACAACGGGACTTTGAGCAACAGCATCTGATCATGACTGAGCATGTAATTGACCGAGTGCCGGGTAAGATATGCTTACGAGTACCAAGATTGTTGTAACTATAGTTTATCCATAGATTATAAAAAAATGACATGGTTTGTTATTATTTATGATTGTATATGGTACAAATCATAACGTTTTATTTTATTAACATATTTTATCCTACCAAGCGGAGACTAAAAAAATATCTCCCTTTTAAATTTATTTAACGTATATGATATTTTCGATTTTCTATTTATTACCAGTGCTTAAAGGTTTACTCATAGTTAATTTTTTTGTTAAAATGTTTTGTTGTTGACGAATGGAAATTAAAAAAAATTATAATAAATAACTTCATTTAAATGCAACGTTTATGTACTATCAATAAAATCAATGTCAAATAAATTACAAAAATAAAACCGTTTAAATACCAATGCGACATACAAAAAAAGAAACATTTATATTTATTCTGTTCATTAACAAACAATGCCAATAATTGAAACACTTATCAATAATATGAACAAATATTAACAGAATTTTGATAACTAACCGAATATGTTTCTAAACTAAATTTTATTTTTTAAGATCTTACAAATCAGGATAAATTAAATAGAATTAAGATTTCTGTACTTACAGGTTAATAAATTTCTGCCTCTATAAAAATAAGAAACAACGATTCGAAAATGCGATCTTTCAAAAGAAAAGCGCGATTGTGACAGAGATCTGTGACACGCGCCACCGACGCCGGCGCGGTTAAGACTTCACGCGTTCGCGCCAAAACTGAACGCCGCCATATCGCTCCCGCCATAAACAAACACTTTTTTTTTTTCAATTCACATTGCACGAAAAAGGCATTATTGTTGCTTTTAAAATCAACATATTGTATTGAAGCTACTAGTTATGTTTTTGCTAAGAATTGTTATTAGTTGAAATATTAAAAAAAATCTATGTAATGCTTAGATTACCTAAGCATTTTGATGACAAAATTACATTGCATAGTAGTAAAAAAATTCGTCGTGTATAAACTATGTTT